GCTAGACCATCTGGTTGTCGATAAAATTTGTTATTGAATTGGAAAAAATCTTGATCTAAACAGAGTTTTAATAAAGTAAGTATGTCTTGTTTCTCAGTATTCTGAATATTGTTTATTGTTAATAAGTTTGAAATTAATGGGATTGTTTCATATCTAGGGACTGAAGTGAATAAATTACTGACATCAAAAGAAACCATGATGCAGTTGTTATCTAGTTGTAAATTTTTAATTTTTTCTATCAAATGTGAAGTGTTTTTAATTGTGTATTCTGGAGTGAAGTTGATGAGAGATTTGATTAAATTGTTAATAAATACTGAAAGTTTGCTAACAGGAGTATTGCAAAAACTTACTACTGGTCTAATGGGACAACCTACTTTATGAATTTTGGGTAAACCATATAGCCTAGGGGCTAATGGATTCATGTCTATCAAATCTCTAAAAGAACTTAGTAGTTCTTCTTCACAATAATATTTGTTTTTATAGTCTTTGATCAGGAGAGACATTTTCATTTGTTTCATTAACATTATCTTCATCATAATGTAATTTAATATTGTTATACAACAATTGCATTATATCCTAATTATTTGTTCTAGGTTAACACTCAAACTCAAAAATTAATGTATCTGCCAACTTGGTGTCAAAATCCAGTTTCTTCTAATTTTCAATTTACTTTCATGTTCCATGTAGTCTGTCAACATATGTCAACAGTAAGTCATTCAATTTGCCTATCAATGTCATCTTTCAAACGTCATTTCTTAAATTCAGTCATTCCCGTTTTACAGTGGAGGCAGCTTGGCTGCCATTTGGTTTTATAATTACACGGTAATTTATAGTATATTAAACTGGATAACAACAAATATTGACGAAATGATCACCTCTTATGTAATCTTTTGTACAGATTTCTGACAAGTGAGTTTTCAAAATTTCTTTACTTTCCTAACCTCAAATAAAAAAATTTTCAAGCACATGTTAACAAAAATTAAATTCCACTTTTCAGAAATCTCCTGATGATGGCAATGTTGCCGAAAACGTTCGAGATTTGATTTTAATGATTTTAGTCTATGTACTATAGCCGCTGGCTTGTTTGTCATATACATTAAATATTACAAGTACATACAACCTTTCTTTGGATAACACTATATTGTAATCCCCGTATTTCACGAAATCGACTAACATACTATCCACCACCATATTCAACAAATTATTATTGTAACTCTCCCTTTATCAGATGCATGAACCCTAATAACATGATCTGGGACCATGATATTGACCTCTTCCGCAACAATTTCACAATGTTCAAGAAACAACTTGAGTACAAACTAATTACATTATTTGGTAGAGTTGCTACTTATGGCAGCAACGTACTCACTACATTCAGGTGTTTTTTTCTTTTCTCCAATCCCCAATAGGAGTAGTAGTTCAATTTATGATATTTCTATAGTTATATATTGTTTAATTTAGTATAACCTTTAGCGACTAGCATAACTCAAATTGTAAAATCATAATTGTATTTTGTGTCACCCTGTAATTGGACAAGCTTTTTGTTTGTCTGTTGGGTGTGCTCATGAATTAAATAAAAAATGAACTAGGAGGAGATTATTGGACATGGCCCTCAGGAAGAATTAACTGCAGACACGTGTTTCGGGCTTTCTGTCCTCATCAGTACGGTGAAAGAAGTGCAAAAAATAGGCAACACTTGGTGGAAGATGAAACAATCAAATCAACTTAAAGCAGTTCCCTCAATATCCCCTTCGTCTTAATTCTACTCCTGGGGACTCGGATGTCACGCAGGTAGCTGTCTCCGTAGTGACGTTAGATGTAGCCCTGAGAATGCAGGGTCCTCTGACCGAAACCATAATTTTTTTTATGTTCTGGTTCCCACGAAAAGGGATATCCTGTAATGTTCAGAGAACATCGTGAGAACCAAGGGAAATAAAGTAGGAATTGGTGTTCTTCTTGAATTTCTGGAGGTTATATGCCTCGGGGAACAACTCCCTTGGCAATGTGTTCCAGAGCCTCGCTGTTCGTTGGATGAACGAGTCTTTGGAAAGAGATGTTCTGCAGGTCTCCAAAGTGACCACGAAAGGGTGCGAAGCCTGAACTCGACGGGTTAATCTCGCGGGGACTGCCAAGGGAGGAACAATTGGATATTTCAGAAGAGCATCGTCCAAGGAAATATCTATAAAAAAGAGCCAGATCGCCAACTTTTTTACGGTGTTCCAGAGAAGTCAGTGAGTTTGTGAGCGAGGCATCACCCACGAGACGAATTGCCCTTTTTTGGACAGAATCCAACAGATGCAGGGTATGTTTGGGTGCTGCACTCCAAATATGAGAACAGTATTCCAGGACAGGTCGGTTCTGTGCCTTGTAGATCATAAGCAGCTGAACTGAAATAGCTCCTGGCCTGCAACAGAAAATCAAGTTTTTGGGATGCACTTGTAGCAATTGATCCCACGTGATTTTCCCAAGAAAGGTTATTGCCGATAGTAATACCAAGCATCGAAATGGATGTCTTCAAAGTTATGATTACTCCTGACAAGCTTATGTTGGGCACAGTGAGATCGGCTTTTCTAGAGAAAAGGCATACTTGTGTTTTGTTTCCATTGAAATCTACCAAGTTATTGGATCCCCATTCAAGAATTGTTGCCAAGTCCATGCATATTCATGTTGTCAACATTTCTCCCTCGTTCGTTTCTGATTTGCCCGGCTGGTATTGGAGCCCTGGAAGAGAAGGCGGTATGGAGGGTACTATCATCCGCGAAGTTGTGTACTGGAAATGAAGTTGCTTCCAACAAATCGTTGATATGGAGTAGAAATAGTGTTGGTGCTAGAATTGATCCTTGCGGAACACCAGCATTTATGGTAAGAGAGCCAGATGAAACTCCGTCGACCACTACATGGAGATACCTGTTCGAGAGAAAACTAGCTAGCAGAGAACAGAGCTGGGGAGGCAAGCCATAAGATGGAAGCTTGGCGAGAAGTCCGTGGTGCTAGACTCGATCGAATGCCGTGGAGATATCAAGTGCCACGGCTAAGGTTTCACCATATTTTTCAATAGATTGCTGCCATATATGTGAGACGTAAGCGAGCTAGACACCAGTGGATCTCTGATGACGGAAGCCATATTGCCCATCGTTGATAATACCTGAATGTTCCAGGTATTTCATGAGCTCGATGTTGATAGCTTTCTCCATGATCTTTGAAATAATAGATAGCAGTGCGATCGGTCTGTAGTTGCTAGGTGCGTTTGGCTTCTGTTTGTTCACTCCGTCGATTTGTTGTTTCGTCTTCCACCAAGTGTTGCCTTTCTTTTGCAATTCTTTCACCGGAACACGTGTCTGCGGGTTAATTCTTCCTGAGGGCTATGTCCAATAATCTTCTCCTAGTTCACTTGAAACATTTTCCTTGATACCCCTTTCATCTTGAATGAAAGCATAGTATATTATTCAACGAGCGCATAATGGTGGCTATTACCCACGAAGATGAGAGTTGCAGTACGAGCCGAAGGCGAGTGGGTAATAGTCATTATGTGCGAGTAGAATACTATACTCTATAACTATTCAAATATCAAAGCAACTCTCAGAGTTCAGAAATATATCTTTGGAAATAAGGTTATTTTATTGCAAAATCACTAAATCTGATTTGAAATACTCATTAATTTCATTGAAAACTTATTGACAAAAATTTCAATCAACGAACAGCTTAAAAATTATTTCAATAATTTTGATTGTGAAACTAATTATGAAAAACAATGTTGTATCTAACTTTCATTAACAGGAAAAAAGTCGTGCAATTACATATCAGTCAATCTTACCAGGTATTATATGCCATTCCACTTTTCAGTTGTAAAATGAATCATACTATTGCAGATCATTCATTAACTTGCTTCCGCTGTAGCGTTCCCCTAACGCGATGATTAATTGTAGTACCCTGTCTCTAGACGCTAGTTATCAACAATGAAGTTCAACGGTTCACTTCCATCAATGTTCATGAGTATAAGCAACTGTCAAGTATCAACGATCAAGTCCTATTTTATGGTTATGGTTACTCATGATGGTAGTTACTGTTGAGAATGAGAAACAGTGAATTCTCATTTTTCCGTGAATTTGTAGAATTGAGGTATGAGAACCATGTAAGGTGCGTCTTTTGAATTTGCGTGTATTCCACAAACAGTAGTATATTGGTGTGCTTTGGTAGAACTAGTAGAACGAATACCTACCTAGTTGAATTTGACAAGACGATGGGATCTCAGATTAATACGGCCAGGTAGCCGTGCGGACAGAGTGTCTATATTCTAATTCGCATTCGCTTGCCGGTCGGGGGTTCGATCCCCGTCGACTGCAGAAATTTTTCTGATGGCCCAACACCTCAACAGCTTCTCATGATCTACAAAGCGCAGACACGGCCTGTTCTAGAATACTGTTCGCACATATGGGGTTCAGCACCAAAACATACGCTGATGCTCTTAGATTCCATCCAGAGAAGAGCCATTCGCCTGGTGGGTGACGCCAAACTCACTCACTCTTTGACATCATTGGAACACTGTAGAAAGGTCGGCGACCTTTCACTTTTCTATCGATACTTCCACGGGAAATGCTTTTCGGAAATCTCTGCTATCATCCCTTCACTAGCAATACCAGTCAGACGAAATAGACAAGCCCAGTCAGCACATCCTTTCGTTGTCAACCTCGAAAGATGTCGAACAGCATTTTATCAATACTCCTTCATCCATAGAACGGATAGGCTCTGGAATTCATTGCCTGAGGAAGTATTTCCAACAACATTCAATCTCCAGAAGTTCAAAAAAAATTCCAATACCTACCTCCTGTCCCTATCCTCCCTAGGAACGCACGATGTTCTTCGAACATTATATTTCCTTTCGTGCGCTCCAAGCGATAAAAACAGATGTCTGTCATTAAATGTTGAAAATCGAGTTAGCAATGTATGAATGACTCCATAGTTGTAGATAAAAACACTAATTCGTCCCGTTTTCTTCTCAGCCGACGACCTTCCGTCCCCCACCCCGCCCCCCGCCTCGCGGTCCGACCCGCCCGCCGGCGCCCCTCCGCCGCCGCGCTGCGAGGCCCGCGGCGCGCGCACCGTCCGCTGGCCGCCCACGCGCGCAGGCGCGACGGCGATCGAGCCGTGCCCGGGCGGCACGACAGGCTTCGCTAAGTGGCACTGCCGCGCCGGCGCAGAAGCGGACCTCGGGCGAGCGGCTCACTGGTGGCCCAGCGAGCCGGACCTCAGCGAGTGCCGGTCCGTGTGGCTGACGAGTTTGGAGCAGCGGATCGTCGCTGGGAGGGATCCGTTGGTGTCGATTACGAACGATTTAGCACAAGGTGAGGGTGTTTCCTGTATTTTTTTGTGGTAAGTCTACAAGGTCTAATCAACTCTATGAGGTTGCGTCATATTTAGAATATTAACAAACGAAGGCCATAGTACACGACAGTCTTTATTACGAGCAAATTCTCAAACGTTTTGGGCTACAAGCCATCATCAGGAGTAATTTCTGAAAGTGAGTGAAGATCAGAAAATCTGAATTGAAGTTATGTAATGGGTTAATAAATTTGATAAATTTTAATAAAGTTTTACTCACTTGTCAGACCGTTTTTACGAAAGATTAAAGCTGTGCTCGACACTGGAAAATTCAAGTTTTTCGAGAAAATTAAGTACATTCTTTATAATTGAATGAAATAGAATAAAAGAAGAGCAATTTTACATGTGCTCTTACATTTTCGGCGGGACGACTGAATGCATGAGGTTAAAGTTAAAATAGGAATATGACATCTTGAAAAATGATCTAGATTGACAGACCATCAAGACAGTGACAGAGACAGGTTCGACATGAAGTAAGAAACACAAGAACCTAGAAATTAATGTATGACAATAATAATTAATGACATAGACTAATGACATTTGCAATGTTGACATAAAGTTGACATAAAACCAATCTATCAACAAAGAGGAGCAGTTCGATTGAGGCACTAAAATGTCATGGATGGATGTAGCGATAGTAAATTCAAGGAGTGGGGATTGAAGTAATTGTCCCATTGCATAGTCTGCATATGGGTTGATGATGAATATGCTTCTTCAAGTGGCAGTGACCGGTTATTAGTCCCGTCACTTGTCTGTCTGATCTGACTTCTGTTAAGGCTCAGAATGTCGTTAGTCACTGTTCTGGACAGTGTTCCAACCATCAGTTTGCTGTGTCTTTGTCCTGGAACGTTGTCCCAGTATGCCTGATCTTGCATCCACCTTGCCAGCCAGCCGCGTATTGAGGTTTTGGGGATGCCTAGCAAGAGCGTTAGCTGCTTCATTGCCTTCAATTCCCTTAGGCGTCAGCAGGGGAGAAAGAACCCCTCCCTGTGGGCAACCCCTAGAAATTGTCACCTCCATGGTTTCCCCAAACAATGAAGATTCTGCTGTTCTGTTGTGTAGGATGTTTTTTATCCACTGACATGTAGTGTCTTCCACTCCACGCCCAAGAACCGCTGCTACCATAGATATGAAGGGGATATGATCAAATACTCCTTCAATATCCAAGAAGGCCGCAAGAGCTATGTTCTTGTTGCTTATTGCGGCTTCAATTTTCACCACCAGTTGATGAAGAGCCGTTTCACACCAGGCCAGTTTTATCATGATTATTGGTGTTTTGTTGTGTCTCAGTGACTAAATCTATTGCTGCCGACCCTGTGTCACTCGACTTTTTTTTTGTTTAAAAATCGATAAATCGATGAATGAACTAGTGACCAGTATTGAAGTTTGTTTTTCTCCTGCAGTGACTGGCAGCAAGACGTTGTACGGCGGCGACATGATGATCACGACGAAGATCATCCAGAAGATGACGGAGAAGATGTCCAAGGACATTCGGACGGTGGACGACGCCAGACAGAGAGAGCAGATTGTCACCGAGATGCTGATGGACGTCGCGAAGACGGGCAGCAACCTGCTGGACGCGTCGCAGCGCGCGTCGTGGAAGGACCTGAGCTACAAGGAGCAGATGAGCGTCGCGACGTCGCTGCTGATCGGGCTGGAGGAGAACGCTTTCCTGCTGGCCGATACGGTGAACAGCGAGAAGACCGTGGAGAAGGTGTTCAAGAATATATGTAAGTTGAACTCCGCCTGAGTCTTCATCTTGAGTAATTATTTCGAAAATTTCACACCATAGCAACTACCAATTTCTGCTAATGTTCTTCTCCTCCTTGGGGGATGGAGCATGAAATTACACTGGACAATTTTTGACGTTTATAGGTTAAATGACATATTCATTTAATTTCAGATTACGTAGAATTCGTTCATGAGTTCCTTGTAAGAAAATATATTTCTACCAACTTTAGCTAAATGAATTTGTGAAAAACTGAGAGATTGAGCTAATATCGACTTATTTTTTATTATTTCATTTGACTAAACTCATTTAATCACATTGCATTTTACCTAATAATATTACGTGAGCAAATTTCAGTGCTACAGAATAGTATACTTATCTTACGGACTGACGAGTGAGCAGTTGATGCATTTGCTAAGGTCGTATCTCAGTGATGGGCCACAGTACGTTAATTTTCTTGGACACAACTCATCAACATAAATTACAAGAGTACCACAGTGTTGGAATCTTGGTCCTCTACTATTTTTAATCTTTGATGACTTGCCGAACCTTGTGACTTCTGATTGCTCATTATACGCTGATGATTTCAGAATATTTCGACCGAGATTTCGACCTATCAGGAACGTTAATGATTACTTTGTGCTGCAGAAAGATATTGACAATATCATCAGTTGGCCCAATGCTAATGAACTATATTTCAATTTCTATAAATGTAAAATAATGACTTTTCATCGATCCAAAAATCGTGACCATTACATTTATACTATGGATAATACTATTGTAGAAAGATGTTCCTCGATGAAGGATTTAGGGGTACACTTTACTGAAAATCTCAAGTTCACTGAGTATATAAATATCGTGAGTAGTGAAGCTTTTAGAATGTGAATTCAGAAATATTGAGTTGACCAAATTGCTTTATTACTATTTAGTTCGTAGTCGTCTTGAATTTGCATCCATAATTTGGGATCCACCTGTTCAGGTCTTGAAAAGAACTCAATCTGTGCAAAATAAATTTTTGAATTATTTTTACTACTGTCAACACAAAGTGAATCCAAGGTTCGAATCTTACCAACCAATACGCGATGAGTTTAAAATACATTTAGAGCACAGAAGAGTTCTTAATAATATTTATACACAAAATATTGAATGGCTCAATAAAGAGCCAGTACCTTCTAGTTGAAATGAATATTTTTGTACCCTTAAGAACGGGAAGAGTCGGGATTGGCGCAGTGGAAGAGCGTCCGTCTCACTACCGCAAGGTCGTGGGTTCGATTCCCAGCACGGGCAAGGCATTTTTTTTTCAATATTTTATTTACGAATTCAAATATTGTAAAATTTCGGAGCATCGGCTGGGGATAGTCCTGCACGATTCGCTGTTGCGTTCCAATTAACAGTGCTGCTCCTAAAGTGGCGCATGGAGTTAGTAACAAAGCCTACACAGAACACGCAGAAAGATATGATGATGTGGTTGTGAGCATCAGAGAACAAGTAGGACTGTGTATGTAGGTGGGTGTGGAAAAACTACCAGCTGAGCGTGAGAGCGGGCCAGCTGCTTAAGTAGACCTCGGTCTCGGGGGTTAACGAGGATAGTTAGCAGGCCTGCCACTGCGCATATAGTAGTGAGTACATTACTAGCCTACAAAACACAGCTGAAAAACTCTGAAAAGAGAGCTGATGGGCGGTGCCTGAAAAGGATGTTGACCAGCTCTCTTGAGCAAACCACATCAGTCATTGAAAACACTTGGGGTTTGCAAAAAGGACCCATTGGGTACTAGTTGCTGACGTGGAAACGTCCCCCACCAGTACCAGTACCAGTACCCTTAAGAACACTTCGTCCCAGACCCATACTCTTTCATGTTTTGATAACAAGTTATTTATTAATCAACAGCATTCCCCAAATTTGTAATAAATATGTTGATAAAATACATAGTTTTTTTTTAAACCAAATGAAGCACGTTTCGGAAATATTTGTTGAGTTTATTCTAATAACAATTGTTACCTATATTCTCTAAGGCTCTAAGTTACATCATACAACTTATACCATCAGCTCAATTTTTACTCTATATTAATTATTGCTATTAGATCTGAGTTGAAGTTAGGTTTGATTGGTTTAAGTAAGAAAACTCGTAAGTAGGTGTAAGCCTGTTAGTTTTCTATCAATAAATAAAGAGTTCATTGTGTAAAAATATATTTCTACCATCTTGAGTAAAATTAATTTGTGAAAAACTAAGAAATTGAGCTACTACTTTCGTCTTATTTTCCATTATTTTGTGTAACTAATATAAGTTAATTGTGTTTTATTTAACCGAACAATGTTATGGTATACCATCCTTTACTATTGCTGAATAAATTATTATCATAGATTTTAGCTCTTGGTTTCTTGTCGACAACTCAACCTCTAGCTGAAATCTACTACCGTTTTCCCTTGTATAATGAATGACTTTTTTTTCCGCAGTGTTGTCAGTCCGAGTGCTGGACCTGAAATCCCTGAAGTCCGAAACCTTTCCCTCCGAGGACCACAAAAGAGGCTGGCAAGTCAGCAACGACACCGTCGAGCTGCCCCGAGGCGCCCTGATGGAGAACAGCGACGGCGCCCTAGTCAGACTCGTTTTCGTCGCGTTCGACCGCCTCGAGGAGATCCTCCAATGGCAGCCCGAGGGCGGCGATAACAACGCCTCGAAAATCCTCAACAGCAAAGTGATATCGGCGAGCCTGGGCAAGGGCCGGCATATCCAGCTGAGGGAGCCGGTCAAACTGACCATGCGCCACTTGAGGACGGAGAACGTCAGCAATCCGGCGTGCGTGTTCTGGGACTACACGGCCAACGCGTGGTCGGAGGAAGGGTGTCGCGTGGCGTTGTCCAATTCGACGCACACCGTGTGCTACTGCGACCACCTGACCAACTTTGCGATTCTTATGGACGTGCACGCGGTTTATTTGCCGATGTCCCACGAGATCGCCCTGCAGATCATCACTTATGTGGGGTGTGTGGTGTCGATCGTGTGTCTGGTGTTGGCGATCATCACGTTCCAGTTGTTCCGCGGTCTCAAAGTGAGTTGTTAGTGGGGGTTTTGTTCCGACGAGAGGATAACATCTGGTATTCTCAATCTTCAAATGGGATAACTGCAGGTTATCTGAATGCTTCAGCTGTGAACATATTTCTGTTATCCTTATATAGTAGTCAGAGGGTGTGAGATAGGATCTGAAACTAAAACTGGCAATAGAGGAGTCCCTTTGCTATTCCTAATATTCATTAACGATATTGCTACTTTCTGTTCAGATTCATCAACAAGCATTGTCGTATAATTATGCAGATGATACAAATATCATAGTGAGAACAAAAGACACTCACATGCTGAGACAACTAGGACAAACTTCAGTCGCGCAAATAGCCGATTGGAGTTCAAAGAATGGATTAACTCACAACAATGAAAAACACATTTCTCGAATTTCATGCAAAAAAAACTACAAAAATGAGAGTAGCATTTTACTCAGGTTAGGGAAATCACTTAAGCAAGTTGAAACAACAGTTTTTCTTGGTAGAACAATTGATCAAAAATAGACGTGGAAATCACTCTTTGAAAATTGAGGATCTAAGTTGCATAAGCAATTGTTTCTCTTGAGGCATTCAAAAAACACAGTTTGTAACATAATTTTATTACTGCTATATAATTGTGTTATTGAATCAGTTATTCCTAATAAAATAATTTACTGGGCCATAGTACAAGTTCCAAAGATATTATTTTAGAAAAAAGCCATCAAATTGAAAATGCCATGTTTATACATCTAGGATGCTCTAGTGTTTATCAGAAAAAACTTTACCTCTTTCAAAATGAAAGATTGTCTACATAGTTATGGTACAAGAGATAGAGGTAAGTTGCACTTACCATTCAAAAAACTGCAAATTGGACAATATTATCCAAATTATATAGGCATCAACTTATACAACAAATAAGATGAATTATTGAAACTTTGCAATACAATGGATCAGTTCAAAAATAGAGTGAAAAAATTTCCAATAGGCAAGGCATTAGAAGTATTTAAGAATTTTCTCTTAACGTTGATCTAACATAATTCAGTGATATTTGGCTGTGTAATTTCACATGTGATAGGTAAATGTTTTCTTGTGTAGTAGTCATTAATTAATTATCAGGAGTGTTAGTTTTTGTAAACATATTTTCTATGTATGTGTAATGTTTCTATAGGTTTATTTTTTTCTGACAAGCTAGATAAAATGTGAATGTTTTTTGTACACCATTTACACTTTAACCTGGTAATAAACTTGATTTGATTTATTGTAGGGTAGGAAAATAGTGACATGTTTGAATCGGAAGCTGAACCTATCTCTGACTAAAACTTTTCCTTCACCTCATCTGAAGTGTTTGTTTTGATTAGATTAGATTAGATTTGGAATGGGGCCTTTGGGCTATCTGCCTCCACACTGCGACCTTTTCAGATCTATTGTGTCTGCCCTCAAAATCGATTAGAGTTTGTTTTGTAACTGGCAACTAAAATAAATCATGATAATCAGATGATTCCTAACTTCATCATAGCTGAAAAACTAATGATGAAGAACAAAATGAAATTGGAAACAATTTATTGCATACTGCCTGCTATGAGATTCATGATTCCAAACAACCTCTTTTTCAATGATATTGTGAAATATTGGGATAACACAATTTGGTCATGTATCTTCCTGTTGATAGCAAAGCCAGAATCTAAATAGCAGAAGTGTATATATGGAAAAGATAGATAGATTTTATCTCATTTGTTAAAAAGTACAGCTGTGCAATAACAAAGAATACGTCAGTTATATAAAATATGTGAAAGTAAATAAATAATGAACATTGTGAGTAAATAATGAACAGAAAATAGTTATAAAGAATGAAACATTTTGTTAAAACATACAATTATGACAGGAATTCCTGAATAGTGTAGATATTCTTATTTTTCAGGAAGATTTCCAATAAGGGGCAATTTTATCAAAGCCTCTTATTCTGGATATTTATCATTCAAACTCTAGCTATTCAAGAGAGATTTATCTATAACTAAGCATATTCAATATTTATTTGAGACAAAATGACACATAATAATGATTTGCAATCAGTAAGAAGATGTGGGCTTTCCAGAAGCTGATGGTAATCTAGAGTATTTTATTGTAATGGAAATATGATGAAAATAAATGAATAAAAGTGTCTTGTTTGCATTAATAATAATATTTACTCTTGAGGAATAATAAAAGCATTTATGTACTTAATAATATGTACAAAAATGTAATGAAATGCTAGATTACTACAGCTAGTTGAGCTCTGGTCTGGACCAAGGAATCATCATGACATTATATTCTGTGTGCAATTCATATATTATTTGAGAGGATGTTTTGATTTCTCCTTGAAATGAACTTTTTATATACCTATTTCATTTGATTTGAGCAATTCATATCATCTCCTTGGGGAACTTGAAATTTAGTATAGTAGTTTTCACATATTATAAGCTTCAACAGATGAAGATTCATTTGTGGTAGAGTTGATAAATGAGACACAAATTTCCTTTTCTTGAATTCATTCTTCATCAACCACTACAAAATCTGAAAAAGTTGAAAAATGTGGTTATACCTAAAAATATAATTGAAACTATATGAGCGATTTTGTTATTATTCACACATCTCTACTTGATTGTATCTCAGTTTCCAAATTCCCTATATTGTGGCACTCCTTATTAAATGACCATAGTCTCGTATTATGAAAGATTCTGGATAACATTTTGGATTGGTTTAGAGGCAAGTTGAAAATTGGTCCTTTCTGGCACCTGACCAAAGTATCAATATAACTATTACAAAAATAAACAGCCAAATATACCAATAATTCGGGACAACCGAAGAAAACAAACACCTCAGATGGGTTAGAGGAGAATCAATACTCTTTCATGGTATTATCTTGTCAGATCCATCGAAAAGACTGCTTCACAAAGACTCGGATTTCTATTCCGTGCAAAAGGCTACACCTCAACAGCTTCTCATGATCTACAAAGCACAGATACGGCCTGTTCTATAATACTGCTCCCACATATGGGGTTCAGCACCCAAATAACATGCTGATTCTCTTGAATTCCATCCAAAGAAGGGCCATTTGCCTGGTGGGTCATCCTTTCGTTGTCAGCCTGGAAATATGTAAAACAGCACAATATCAAAACTCTTTTGTCTCTTTAACGGCGAAGCTCTGGAATTCATTGCCTGAGGAAGTATTCCAAAGAATTTATAATCTCCAGAAGTTGAAAAAAATCACAATACCTACGTCCTACATTATAGGAATCCTCCTTCGTGCGCTCTAAGCGATAGAAGAAGTTGGAGTCGAAGATAGGTTTATATTTTCCCCACTTGCCATACAATAACAATAACATACACAGCTGAAGTATTCAAATCACTTGTTCATGTGAATTTCAGTTGCCATTGGTAAACTGGGTGGAAGCAGCCAATGGGGGAGACCCTTGATTTTTTTAATGACATAATTGGGAGCTCTATACCAAAAAACTGACAGTAAATATAGTTTTTTTTTTTCATTCATACTAGGAAGATAAAAACAATAAATTTTAATATGTTTATTTGAAAACACACACTTCAAGCGCCATTTGAAATAGTGTCAATTGACCATTCTAGAACACGCGATTTTGAAATGGTTTCTTGAGGGGCACACAAACAATCAGTTAGGTTACCTTTGATTAGAGCATATCCCTGGCCATCCCTGCCACATCCACAATATAATAACAGTTTCTCCAAACACAATTATGAAATTCTTTCTGTTCCCAACCCGGATTCCAAGAAAAACGATCGATGTAATTCTAGAATCATTAATTCATTGGTGTGACGTATTAGTCCCAACACGCCTATTGTCCTTGAGCTGACTAATCACTGCAACACTGCAGGCAAGGTATCAGAGAGAGATAGCTACAGTTCGGGGCTAATACGTCATGGCTCCACCTCCATATCTGGCTTTTTGAAACAGCAAATGGAATATGCTGATTTCAAAACGCAATAGATTTGATTCCCTTCAACTTTAGCTAATGATATTGATAATGATGGAAATAAGTAGATGGTGTGCGTAGTCGGCCATTTTTACATATTGAAAACTTAAGAAAAATCACTCGACCGCCTACTATGATTTCTCTACGTCACATCGAGCGAGACGTTGATTCTACATTTTTCCGCTAGATGGTAATGCTGCAATTGCTGCTGTGACAAGTGGAAATAAAATGGCAAATGGCATTTTAGGTACGCGGAACATATGTAACAGTGGGATTATTTAACTCTGAATTCAAAAAATCTGGGGCAATTCACAAAATTGACCGATGTCATGATTGTGCAATGTCGCCATCTATTAGAAGATCGACGGAACCATTGCTCTCGCTGTTCTCGAGAGGTCAAGTAAACTTTCTGGAAAAAAGCGCATCAGTAATTACACCATATCTTACTTCCATCATTATATTGATTATAAATTGAATGTAAATCATGAGTCATCTATTGAAAGAGGTTTAGACGGATTTCATCCCTCAGTGGTCTTCCCCATTGAATATACTAGATTGATCCACTATTCAATAGGTTTTTCCAGTCTTTTCCAGAAAAGTCATCACACTTATTGAATTCATGCCATATACATTTTATAATGATATTTCCATTCATAAAAAGTATTTGATGGAATCATTCTTTATTCAAAATCATAAAAAATATATAGTTGTTTCAATCATAGGAATTCTTTAATGCTTGTGTCTGATGACATGATACACTGATAGCAAGAATTCACTGCAACCATAGGGGTGAAAAAATAGTAGGAAGAAAAACTTCTCACCTCACCAGTTTACCTCACTAGTCACCAGATAATTTTCCGATTGTGCTGTTTATTGTATTTTCCACACCTAAAAGTATTTAGTATAATATAACTAGGTTCTGATTCTGTAAAATAACAGAGTAAGATGGCGTATTTTCTACAAACATTAAGTTCCTGAATGCAGGAATGTGGAGTCAAAAACCAAATGGGTTGGGAACTAATAAACTCATATCAAAATGTTCCCAAGACATGTCATGTTTGTGATGTAAATTTCAGTTTCACTAAAATGTTCCGTATACATATCATGTTTTTGATTTTTCACTAGGCAAACTAATTACTAGTTTTTCTCTTCAAAATAGTCTGACCGCCATAAAGATATATTAGGTCAAAAATGTCATTATCAAAAACTTCATATTGTAAATCACAAAAAAATTACCCCCTGGGCCATAAGCTTGAAATTGTTTATCATAGTCAAAAATTGTGTTTTTGGAAGTGAATCACTTGCTTTTTCTTCTTCTTTTTGCTTTAGATGGCCTCAGTACTATCCGGCCATTGTATATTCTTATTATCTTGATTTTTATTGTCATTTTCATGTGGTAAGCATTACAGAAAGAGCTATATTCGTGTGGGTTATAATATTCCAGTATTAGTACATTTTTTAGTATAATTTTCCTGTGTTTTTTCGTAATTACAAATTCATACTTGTTCTTATGTTATAAGATTTAAAATTAATATTTTTTATTAACCTTATCCGTTCTTTTAACTTGTAGTGCCATCCAGTCTACTTTCTGAATTGATGAAAATGTAAAAAAAATGCATTTGACACTGATAAAAATGAAACAATCAAACTTCATTGCACGCTAACTAGTGTATTTAACTCACCAGGCCACCTTTTTTCAACTACCACATATTTATAAGGCCGCTGTGAATTATTGCCGGCGAAGCTAAATATATAAATACAATATCAATCACGCTGATTCACATGGTTATAGAAACATGTCACCTGTGGGACGCACTTTATTCACAGGGCAGTTGAATTGTTAAGAATGCTATCCTTATTCATAATCTCTATTAGGAGATAAACTTCCCCATTATTGCACATACAAGTTGAGATTTGATGTCAAATTTGAAATGACTGGAAAAGTCCCATCAACTTTGTGACTGATGTTTACTAATACCCTATCTTTTTTCTATTTCAGAGTGATAGAACGACAATCCATTGTAATTTATGTGTATGCCTGTTGATAGCAGAGGTGATATTCCTACTCGGAATTGGCCAGACTGACAATGCCATCTTATGTGGTGTAGTAGCCGGATTTTTGCACTATTTCTTCTTGAGTGCATTCATCTGGATGTTTTTTGAAGGTATGACTACAATAATTATCAAAATACGTACAGGGTGTTTAAAAAAGTGAGGCATTCATCTCAACAGGATGTTGAACTCATAAAAATAACTAGAAAAAGATTGACATCCATAGAGTTTCAGATCAGATATCTGAAATCCTTTTTAACATATTGTCAAATGTTGAGATTTCTTTCGAACAGTTTGGGCAATGAAAAAGGTTTGTTTACATTCAAAATTTTTTAAATGGTGTGCATCTACCTCAATCGTGCCTCAATCCAGAACAAGTGTGGGGTAGTTTGGAAACCAGATAAGCAAAATCTCAAGACGAGATTCTTTTTCCAAAATATATGCTATGCGTTTTGACATCATGGATCAATAACATGTTATATTAACATGGAAGAATTCTCCACTAAGACATTCATACATCTATACCTATCCAAAATGATCCCTAGATTCTCCATCCTTAGTATAAGATTCACGACAGTCATAAACATTTCTCATTCAGAGGCTCCTACTGCTTAGGTCTGATTCGAAACTATCCCAAACCAGTTCGTTGTAAACGAGAACATAAAATCTGAGGAATAGGGAACAGGAAACGCGAACATTATTGTCTTACTTTGCATGCTTCTGATGGTTTTGGACTGTTGATTTGGTGTACGCGAACAAGCCTTTAATGAATCATTGTTTGAATACAAAAACCTACCTTTGTCCTGATATCATAATTATAATATGGCCCTCTTTCAGGTTTTCAACTGTATGTTATGCTCATCGAAGTATTCGAAGCGGAAAAGTCCAGAATACGTTGGTACTACTTCTTCGCTTATGGTCTTCCTTTCCTGGTAGTCTTTATATCGGCTACCATATATCCCCAAGGATATGGTACCCAAAGGCACTGTTGGCTGCAAACAGACAACTACTTCATCTATAGTTTTGTTGGACCTGTATTTGTTGTTATTGTGGTAAGGAATCTTTGAATGTCCACTTATTGATAAGTATTGTATCATAGAGGCTGGTTTACCTAGGGCCGCAAAAGTGTTGGAGTAGTGATAGATGTCAAAAGCAATGCTACTAGCGAAATAATGAAATGAAAAGCACGTGTTTACATTTAACACCAGAGCGGCAGTGATTTTGCCGACCGGCGATGTATGCTATACAGTCTTTAGTTGGAAGGGAAGAAGTCAAATTCACCAAAACTGTACTTTATCTAAGTAGTTAGAGACATGTTCATATATCAATTCTAAAAAATATTTCATCAAATTTGGAACTCAAATTTTCACTTTTTCATCATAGAAGCAAAAAAATGAATCTACAAGAAAATTTTGAAATTTATTAGGCCATCAAGAATCCCGAAATGACATGTATTAATGAACAGACTCATTGTGACAGAGACGTGAGTCTATTTGAACTTTCATTGTTTGAATGTTCATCTTACATGTTTTTTTTGTTTTTCTAACTTTATTGCTCCTATATGTAATTCATTTACTGATGAATCTTCCAAGCATTGATCCATGTCTCCCAATGTTGTAATAATAAAGTATAGTTTTCGTGGAGTTTGGCTGTAAGATTTTCTTTCCTACCTATTGTGTTCACTCCACTGTAAGATTCACTGACAGTCCAGTATCCATTGTCAATAAGTCAAGGTAGGTATGCAGAAAATGTAAAATTTGTATATTGCTATGGAATATGAGAACCAACTCCCCAGTAGTCGAACTTTGTTAGGATGAGCGGGACCAACAGCTTATAGCGGGTTCCGAATCACTTCTAGGGTGCCGATGTAATTGTGAAGAATGTAAGTCAACACATTGAGAACACTCCTTTGGGATTGAAGAGACAAGAGTAACCATAATCTGTTTGTGCTGGATGAAAGGGCTACATTGAACAAAACACTCTTCAATGCGGTATAAGGTCTGTTCACTATTTCTGCATGAAAATCATGTTGTACACTATATATTTTTGAGATACACTTCTCGGCGTGGATGAGTGTAGTGGAGTGGAGTGTGGTGAATTTATACCCTTCTCGTTGCTTATGGTGTGGTCAAGTGTAGTAATATTTCGCGTATTTTAATCGCATGGTAAAAACTCTTTGAACCTGAAAACAAATGGAAAGTGATGATGAAATCATTTACATTTTCTTGAATTAAGATGGTGAATCAATTACACGTTCTTATGACGGGGATCAATTAATGAAATCTGTTTTATCAGTAGTGGTATAATCCATCTTAGGATTAGAAACGTTAAATGATATACAAAACAGAGATTGTTGTTTATGCTCCAAAAACAAACTCCTAACCTAACAACAATCTGCACTGGACTTCTAACACCTCCAGATCAAGTGTTACACTGATTTGGCGGTAAATTATCTCCAGTTATTGTGTTACAACACTTGTGCAAAGAACACAGTGTGAGTGTACACCAAACGGTATCAGTGCTACACAATCTATTCTGGTGTACAATATTGTATTTAGTTATTGAAGGCACAGCGAACAGACCTATAGATACCTACTAACATAGTGTATATAGTCTTAGTTATTTATCATGATAGAATGATGGGATAATAGGTAGCCTAACCTGACATTGTACAGTTATAGTAATAGCTGGTCCATCGATATCAGATCTTTTATTTATTCCAGAAGAAATATACTGGGTGACAACGGAATCATTGGACATGGCGTCATTTATTTGTTTTTCTGTAAGACTTTTGACATTCGGATCGAGGATATAGTTCCTTAAAACCAATATTTTTCCATTGAGGTACAATTGAATATCACTTCCGGTTTCACCGGAAATTGACTTAGGTCGAGAATTTTGCATAGAACTCTGTAAATATTTTCACGCCATTTGATAGAGCAAAAAAATCCCTTTTCACTTGTATATTTGTTTTAGAAATGATGGCGCAGGAGACATTTTTTCTAAAATCAAGCAATCAAGCAACCTGATAAAATAGCAGATAATCGAAGCAATTTGATTAGTTTTTAATTTTGATGGAACATGCGGAAATTTTGATTTATCGCTATTCAGGATACCATTTAGTAATTCTTTCAATTGACATTCTTTCTCGTGAAATTTCTCAACAATTTCAAATAGAAAATTGTACTTTTTTCGGATTTACATGAAAGTATAGGTCATTATCACAGTATGAACCCTTACGAAAAACAGTAATTTCGCTTAGTGTCCGAACGTTTGATGTTGAAGTTTTAAAGTTTTATTTTCTGCCAGACCAGTCGCATACCACCACGCACAGACTTGCGCGTTTCGGGCTTGGTCGAGCCAATGACAAGCCAATGACGACTCGCTCGTCATCACTGAGGAATGCTGTGAAGTCACTGAATTATACTTTTGGAATTCTGAAGAAACTATTAAACAACAATCTGTCGTAGTATTTTTGCAACAAATGAAACAGTAATATCGATAGCACTCAAAAGTGAAACGGATCACCAGAAGCAGGGAGAAATCAGTGACCTCACATATAAAGTTCATGAAGCACAATAATTATACCAGTAATCGGAAATAAGTGGTTCACAAAACAATACTAGGCACAATAAATAAATCGTGAATCATAAAGGCATATAAATCAAAGAAGTTGAAAAAATGTAAACAAAATACCTGCCGTGCTAGCTGAGCAACTGCGCATACTAGCGACGAGTGGACATACGCACTGCGATTTTTAGGACACGAAAAGTGCTGACAGAAATTACTGTTTTGCGTGAGGATTTATACTGTGTTATTATATACAGATTTATACAGGTAAATGGTTGACACACTACTACGCCTCATGTTTTTATTTTCAAATGAAAAATCATTGAAAGTTGTCTTTTTCATTAACCTAATCTGAATAATCAACTTCAATGATTTTTCAATTGAAATAAAGAACAAGAGGTGTAGTATGTCAAGCATTTATCTGTATATAATGACTTATACTTTGATGGTAATTTGAGAAAAGTACCATTTCCTATTTGAAGTTCTCGAGAAAATTCAAGAGAGAGGATTACTAAAAGAAATCCTGATTGGTGATGAATCGAAATTTTCGTATGTTTCATCAAAAACTGATCAAAGTGCTTCGTCTATCTGCTATTTCATCAGGTTGCTTGACGAAAACTCGATCGATGACATCACGGTGTCACCATATTGATTTTTTACAAAAAAAATCTCCTGTGCCGCCATTTTATGAACAGATGTCCACTCATTAAGTGCCATTGAGAAGGGAATTTTCACTCTATATGGCTTGTAACATTCTCGACCTATGTTCATTTCCGGCTAAACTGGAAGTGATATTCAATTGAAGTAATTTTCAAGTCATGTAATGACGAAATAGACGTCCTAAAATGACTTCTGAGAGACCCAATAATGACGTCAAAGACTATATTCCGAATTCAACTGGTCAGTACTGTCAGTAATTCCAGTGACACTGCTGAAAAACTGTGTTCCGAAATATAAAATCAAAAATGCAATGCTGTAATTCGAAACACGTTTTCATGGTTTTCATCAGTATTCAGCAGCAGTTGATCAGCTGTTAAAGTTTGAATATTATTCTCAACGTCAATTATTTTAATAACAGGCATTTAATGATATCAATTTATTATTGATAAGACAAGACCAAATGTTTGAAGAACAACGGAAATAAATGTGAAATTCCTTACCCTTCTAAAATAATGACAGTTCACTGAAGCTACACTACCTTTTGATAGTCAGCATTTTCAGCAGAATAATAAGTCGAAATATTTGGAATGAATAGTTTGTCTGCTCACAAGGATCTGTCACTTTCAGTGAATTATTTTGATTCCAGAATAAAAAATCTGCAGATTCAGTACTGTCAGTTGAATTCGGAATATAGCCAAATTGTCACAGCCACAAGACGTCATATTTATACGTCAAAATGACCTATAAAGGACGAAATTACAAAAAAAATAGGTATATGTACGGTATTATAAGCACATAATTGTACACCACAAACCTTTGATGAAATTCATTTGTAACTGTGTTGTGGTGACTTGGTCGATGGTCCCTCCCGGGCAGTCTTGTTCAATCCTGGCGCTATCATTAAGTCCTTTGTAACTATGTGTTGTGGTGACTTGGTCGATGGTCCCTCCCGGACAGCCTTGTTCAATCCTGGCGCTATCATTAAGTCCTTTGTAACTATGTGTTGTGGTGACTTGGTCGATGGTCCCTCCCGGGCAGTCTTGTTCAATCCTGGCGCTATCATTAAGTACGCATCTCTATATGTTAATATCATTAGCTACTATCATCGGCGAGATGAAAGCGAACTAATAGTAGTTTGATAGCAATGTAACGAAAGTTGGCGATTCAATTTAGTACAACAGACGATGAAATGGTAAAAAAACGACAGATTTTTCTTATTGGTTGTACGGAAGAATGTAGGACCTTCTAGTCACATCATTTAGACCTCCAGTATTATACGTCAATAAGACGTCATGTTTTATGACGTTCTTTGTATTTCATATTTTGGTCAAAAGACGTCGTGGATCAAAAATGACGTGAACTCGACGTCAATATGATGTCTTCTTGTGTCACTCTGCTGCCTGGGTCAGGCCGTAATTTTCAATTTCTTTGAACAATGACTCATAATCTGTTACAAAAACACATTTGATAGATATTAAAATTTTTTGAGGTCTGCAACAACGATGAACGGAAAAGAAAATACAAGGATGGTGTTGCTCAAAGTGGGACATGTGTACTTATATAATATAAATACTGTCTGTAGATTAATCGATGAAGTTGAATATTCATTCCTCAAGATTTTTTGTGATTTTCTCTTGTTTCTACAAATGAAAATATGAGTATTATTTCGATATATGTGTATAAGGCCAGCGTAGCCTCGTGGTTGAAGCGTCAATGTTCTATCCACGTTGGATTGCCGGTAGGTGGGTTCGATTCCCACCACGACCGCAGAAATTCTTCTGATGGCCTAAGAAAGTGTTCGGGATCACACTTTGAAAGGTATGACCCCCGTCATTCCTTGCTCGCACAAGTCTTTTGAAGATTTCTGAGGGTTGCTCGTAAGGAGGCAATCGAATGATCGATAAGAACAATTTTTCAAATTTTTTTTTTAGGAAAAATGAGATGATTTTTCTGTGAAGTTTTCTCACAGAGAAATGTTATAAAGTGAAACGATTAAACCATTTGCAAAAATTCGTTAATAATTTTTGAATGCAGTGACATTTAGCGGCAAATCATCTGATTTGTTCTCACTGTGAATATATTGAAATAATACGCATACTTTCATTTGTAGAGACGAGGTTAGATATTCCCAAAAAATTTAGGGAAATATACATAATATACTTTTTTTTTTCAGTTGAACGTCATTTTCCTAATAATGGCGATATTTATGATGTGTAGACATTCAAGTAATAGTATATCACTGAAGAATAAAGAACACTCCAGGCTTGCAAGTACTAGGTGAGTATTTTTCTTCTGTTTTCGTTCTATTTGAATTTTTTCTGTAGAATTGTTGGCTCATCACGCCTATTTTGAAATAACTGTTTTGTTTAAAATGGAATGGCTGATGAGTTTCTGCAGGCACTGTTCATCTTCCGTTTTTCTCTATTCGTCAACAGCTTCAAGTTTTCTTTTACACAATGATTGTATCTGACTGCATGAAGAGTTGAATTTTCAAACATTGATATCGATCGATACTCGTTGCAGTCTGCTGCTATGAATTCAACTTCTAACGTATGAGATGGCCCGACTTGAAAGGAAGAGTCCTATATTTTTAACTTGGTCGATGAAAATTGATGTGGGTACCTGAGGGTTTATTTTCATGACAAAATCGATGGTGAACACCGTTTGTCGATATTTATCATCGTTTGAAGTTTCCGCAAATGTGCATCTTTGGAAAGTTGCTATATAACTTTCTCCCTATCAAGAATTATTTGTTGTATTTTTTTCCATAAACTGACAGTAGTTATTGATGAAAAACATGAAGAGCTTGATATTACCGTTCTAAAAATATGGTACACCTAATATGTTGCTGAAGTCTAAAGTCGTAGTATAGACTTTAAAGTGCATACCTTGCAGTACTTTGGCCGATGCGGTGAAAAATGCAAATGTTGACTAGCTGTCAAATCAAAATGAAATCATTCTTCTATTTCTTCTCTGCACGGATGGGCGAGTGCATCGACCATCTGCAGATGGGATCACCTTTGATCGCTATTAGCTTCAGGTGCCTGTTGAGGTGGTTGTGTCCAGTTAGGAGCCCAACTACCATCTTGAGATCTCTTCTGTTGAGTGACAGGACCTCTCTCGTGAGCCTTTTTGAAGGTTCCTTCATGAGGAGCTTTGATTGTCTCATTCCTGGTATGTCCTGCAATGTTTCATCAAGCACCAAGGAACTGCCTTCATAACAATTCCTTCATGGAGGACATACCCATGCTATTGGGTATTCTCAGTATCGGTTCTGGTCCAATGGGTGTTGTTCCTGAACCGATCTTAGCTAGTCTAAAATCGATTTTTTATACACCTCCACACTTGTTTCGCTATATTAGCATTTTCAGGGAAAAATTAAAACTTCAACAAAATATCAACAAGCTCTATCGAAATATGCGAAAATATATATATGGTGTCCCACTTGAAAAAATGTTTCTTCTGGCTGTTTGAGAAAAAAAAACACCTTGAAACTCTGAATTTTGAAAATAGGGCTTTCCCTTTTATAGTGTCAAAATCGGGCCACCCCATACATCGAACATGAATTCAACTTCTGAAAAAAATTTTAACGGGTTCGAATCGAATTTTATTTTGAAATTTCTTACAAACTCTGTGATTATCAAAAAGATAAAAGTACAGGGTGGTCATTAAGTTAGTACCAATAATTCTTTGGCATACTCGTTGGCATCTCAACATGTGTTCTCAAATGCTTATGAAAAACGGCTCAAACTCTACTCCACCATTCCTGTCTGATTTTAAAATATAAAAAACTAATATGATGAATTGAAAAACACTACAACTACTATTTTGGCTATTTGCTATTGATCACACACGATAAGAATTTGAAAACAAAATCTCCTGAAGTCTAGAATTTGCATTCTCCTTCAGATGGAAATATGTATATATCATCATTCTGAATATTCAACAGAAAACAACTACTTTCCTGGCTATTTGCCACGTCGAACATTGAATTATATCCGTTGAACATCCAAAAGGAGAACATGAAAATAAAAGTCTCATGAAATTGAGAATTGACAGTCTCTTTCAAATGGGATAAATACTATGATGTGTAATGATATAAAAATATAACATACCAATATATTCATTATTGAAATGAAAATTGAAATGTATAGGAGAAGTATACTTGTATAAACTCTGGTCTTGATGAGCTTGAAACTTCCAAAAATCATTCGTATCCGTAATATGGGAATATTATCTCTCACAAACATGTTATATGACTATTTGAATGAACTAATTTCGGGTAATGAACCCTCCTTAGTAACATGAAGTCTAGTTATTCTTTCAGCCATTTTTCATGAAATACATAATTTTCATCTCTCAAAAAATGATATTATTCATCTTGGTAGCCATGAAGAACAAAGAAATAACTCCCTGGTGTATTTTCGATCAATAAATCGATTCTTTTCTTCTTCAAGTCATAATTTTGATGAAAAATTAGTGAACATTTATTCGAAAACAAGTTACTCCTATTCCTCTTCTGAAAAGAGAGCTGAAAAGGATGTTAGCCAGCTCTCTTGAACGAACCACATCAGTCATTGAAAACACTTGGGGTTGACAAAAAGGTCCCATTGGGGACTAGTTGCTGACGTGGAAACGTCCCCCACCAGTACCAGTACTCCTATTCCAACTTGGAAATTGCATATATATATATTTTAAAAAAACTATACTTAGTTGATGTTGAAAAATAATGTCATTTCACAAGTTTGTTGTGTTTTTCTGTATTTTTAGAAATTGGAGTGAAAGTGGCGAAGTTACAGCGTTTTTTATAAGAACCTATTTTTCAGTGTTTTTTGAAAATTGTTGGAAAACACGAATATGCAACAATTTGCCTAACTCAATTTGAGTTCACAGATACAGGCTGGTCAACACTACTGAATATGCATAAGATATTGGTACTTCATCTTCCCAACATATACAGGGTGTTTTAAAAAATTGTGTCTCCGTTGTAGAGATGAGTAGAACAGTGCAAAATTAGTTGGGTTTGCTCAGTTAATAATTGAATACGGATGCCGTCACGATAACTCTATAGAGCAATTGCAACATATTTTTCAGTGTTCTATCTACCCTAGCAATGTTGTCACCCTTTTTGAAACACCATGTATATCATTGGTGATCACTTGGATCATATTTTCATGCTTCTGAAGTAGCTAGTATTCTACTTAAGCCAAGCATTTCGAGCTATCGGTTTCAAATTTTCGTGTTTTCGTGTCTCGGTAAGATATGCCACTTTGGATTATTGGAACGTACTCAAGGACCATTTTCTTTTTGAAAATGTATACAGGGTGTCCCAAATCGTAAAGTCAGGTCGAAAGGAGGAGATACAACGGGCCAGTACAGTGCATCCTATTTTCGTTGAGACTGCCAGGTTTCTCGGTTGTTATTGAAGATAGAGCCTTGTTTGTTTGCACGTTCCTCTCCTACTTTTTTTGTGAAACTAAAGATGTCCTTATCAGATTTTGCATTACTGATTCCGTTAAAGAGATGCAGGGCGATTTTGGAAATTCATACTTTCTGGACCTCTTCTATATCTACGAAGTTATTAGAAATAATGGTGAGTTAAGATCTATGTCCAAAGGTATGTTCATGCTTGTAAGAATTCCGCAAAATATATTCGAATAAAATGGCGGCTGAAATTATCGCAATGAAGGTGAAATATTTCAACTTTTTCACGAATTCGGATGGAATCATAACCGCACAGTATGCATAAAATGTGTTGTTGTTATTTTGATACTCTAGAGACAGAAAAAATACTAGACTAACACTAGACTACAGGTACACAATTTTAATTATGTAAAAGATATAAACATTCATAATTTCTTCTTTGAATAATTTTTTTTCGCATGACGGATTCTCTGGATCATTTGTATCGTATCGTCTCTATAGAGCTAATGATATGTCCAGACGGAAAAAGAATATTTGCTTGTTTTTTTATTCAATAGTTATTTACAAACTTAGGTCAAAATTTATTGTTATCTCAAAATTTTCGTGATTTTCGTTACTGTAGATCAAAATGGTGTCGTCTGCAATATAAAGAAGGGGTCCAAAGAGTATGAATTTTCAAAATCACCCTTTATCCCTTGATCAGTAACGCAAAATCTAATGAGGTCATCTTTAGTTTCACAAAAAAATAAGACAGGAACGTGAAATCCGCAAGGCCCTTTCTTCAATAACAACCAAGAAACCTAGCAATCTCAACCAAAATGGAATGCACTGTACAGGTGGTCAGCATAACTCGATGTCTCAGCTCATCTATTATAGGAAAAAGAAACAATGAAAAATATCTGAATTAAGGTTCTTCAATATGATTGAGTAAGGTCTGTTTTGAGTCAGATTTGCATATTTTTCCATATTTGGAAACTAAAGTAATGACGTACTCGAATTTATTTTTTCTGAAACATAAAAAGAGCTAATTTCTCTAGTGAAATTATGTGGAGGAAATAACAGCGTTGAATAAGACATGCAAATCTTGAAACACAAAGCCGGTTTTGAGTAGGGACAATTTTTACAGCAAAAACTGTCTAAATATGTTCTGATACTTTTGATAGATTATATATGATTATAGATAGAAGTTTATCAATTCGAAAAGGTAAAATCATTTTTAGCAAGATGAAATTTCGTCTAGCTAGCTAGCCATGATTCGGCCAACCAAACTTCTTTCGGAATGACGTTGCTTTTTTGGATGAAAACCAAATGTTGAGAATATAATTTTTTTCACTAAAGTGCAGTGCCCCAAGCACAAGTCAGATACACCTTGATTGTAATTATTATAACACGTATCCCTATTTCAATTCAATGCGTCCAGATATTTGAATGCACGAATTCCTGATTATTTTGTTTACATTGTCCACTGTATTTACATGCACTCCTCTTTCTTACAACTTTTGGACACGAGATGGAGAGACAAATCAATGGAACTCTCAAAACTACTCATCACTTGTTGGAATCCATGTTGTTGTTTCTCTTATATTGGTAAAAAAAAGAAGATTATCGAGAAATAATGTTTGCTATGAATAAAAATTTTTAGGGTTTATATTGAGCAACATTTATATGATTCAACCAAGTATTTATCTCCATGTTTCTTGATTTTTCTTTTCACTTCGATCTAGTTCAGAAGATATTGAGAAAGGGGATATAAAACAACACACACTGTAATTAGGGTTTTGAACGTAAGATTTATTCAACAATTACGAAGGTCATCAAAATATGATTTAAGATCAGTATTTTGTTGAGAACCTTAACACGAATATTTTCAATTTTGTTTTTTTTTTTCAAACCGTTTTTGAGATTAACCTGAAAATAGTTACAACATTCAAACAATGAAAAATTTGACATTCCATGAAACTGACATTACTACTTCATGAGTAGTATATGATATTTATGAATCATCAATATTTGTCTCCCAATACTTTGTGAAATTCTGAGTTGTTCAACTTTAGTGAACAATGAAACATTTTTCATTCTTATAGTGTGCTGAACTCATTATGTTCAAAATCCTAATAGAATTATTCTGGTTATGGTATGTAAACGAGTTGAGGAAACTCGAGTGGAAATCAATTACAACTTTCCTATATCAATTAAACTAATAATTCAATAACAATAGCTGACCGTGAAGTTTAGAAAAAGTTGTTATTCGAACCACTTGTGGTGTACCCTAATAGTCAAGAACACAAATGCGTTTATTCAATTTAAATTCGAATGCCTACTGGAATATAGTAGTAATGCATCGTTTTTACTACAAGATATGATGTGATAGTTCAGAAAAACTTCATATGAACACCCTACAATTACATGGGACGTTCAAACATAGCGGCACACTCGTCTAGCCAGTATTCTGACGTCATAAGTCCTCTTCATGCATCGAAACCGAAACCTCAATTCAGCTTGAAATGAAAATATTTTTTTTTTGCTGAAAGTGGTCATTACATCGAAAGATCTCTTTGAACATTTCGCCGAAAGTAGTGAAATTACCGAGATAACTTTGGATTTTGTTCATAAAAAATAAACTTTTTTTATAAATATAAATACAATATAAGTAAGTATATTCACTGTTCTATTTTATTTTTCGATACTGTTTTTATGTAAAAAATATAAAAAGAATATATTCATATTGTTTCATCTTGGAACATTCTTGTCACCCCTGGGATTTAGAAATTCCAGGTCCTATGCCTACATATGAGTATTGAGTATAAGTAATATTATTCGAAATAATCATCTATTCAATTCTAAGCAGCATAATAATTTAGGTATTGACTTCATGAAAATATCTTGGACACCCGATATAGAATAGATGATATATTCCTTTTGCAGTTGAGGTTCCGCCATATTTTTGCATTCGCTATTGAAAATAAGCCTACGCCACCTATCGGAGTTCTTGAGAGCCGTCAAAGCGGTCTGTTTACTTTGTTTTCATTAGTTCACATTGGTTTTTTGTTTGTGCTTATTGGTCATATCAAAACAAACCGCATAGAAGTGTTCAAGTTGTTGCCGTCAGGTGGGGCGACGTGTTATTTTTTATCGCGAATACTCTCCTTTCGGCGTTATGACCACTTTCGGCAAAATGTAAAAAAAGCTGTTTCGGCTTTATGAAATGTGTCCAAAGAGTTTTTTCGGCAATTTGACCGCTTCTGGCATAGTGCCCACCGATCTGTTATGACGTTTTGACCGAAAATTCGGCGGCTTGTTCATTGGAGGACTAATGACTTGAGTAAACATTTCTTAATTCTCAAATCTGTCAATTGAGATGATTTGATATTCGTTGATATAGCATCTTGCAATTAGACTAACTGCAAGGTTCATTTGTCAATTAAGACTTTAATTGCAAGATAAATTTTGCAATTACATCAATTGCCAGATCAATCTTGCAATTGAGTTTGAAATAAAAAAATTCTTTGTCGGGAAAAAAGATTGACATTTCATATCTGTTGACATGTTACAAAATGTCACTTTTCATGAAATCACTTCTCAAAACAAAACACAGAATGAAATCGACAGATATTTGACTACTTCGAAACGTTTCCATAATAACAAAATGCCTGCAACGCAGGTATAACTATTGTCGCAGTCTACCAGTTAAAAACTTCCAATTTCACATCGATAACTTTCTGATTTCAATATGATGTGATATCTTCTCAATATTGAATCGTGGTTCTTCCTGTCACAGAAAAAAATTGTATATTATTTACGGAAAGAATATTGCATTTAAAAATCCAATACTTTTTTCCTTGTGTGATAAATAACTATTTTTTGTTCACGTTATGTTCGTTGCCTTTGTAATTATCCAAAAATGACACATCTGGTTTAAAAAAAAAACAAGAACAAGGGAGTTTTAAACTGTCTCGCTCAGTTCATCCATGACATGGAATCGATCAAATCTTGATAGCGATGAATGTTAAAATATCCAAGCAAAGTAAAGAATCGATTGAGATGACATCATTGTTCATCTCACTGAATAGCGAATAATCGATTTTTCTCAACTACCAATGGACGGTCGGTGCGTTATAGTACTTGTGACGTCAGTACCGCTGACGATATTTAGTCGTATTCTAACAGAAACAATTCTTTGGGATCTTGGTATGATAAATCCAGAAGGAATAAAAAAATCTCTTGTGTCTTCTCATCTTGATGAACGTCATAGCATTTTTCTAGAAATTAGTGTTCTCGTCTATTCCATTAAACAATGTTGAAGTTAAACATCTCGGACACAGTTCAAAAGCAACCCAAGATATTCCACTCTAGTTTGCCTTATACGAATTTTGGTGTGGTATTAATTCTAATTGAGTAATTTCTCTTTCTTGCATGGCGATCTTATCCTATGGTAGTGGAAAGGAGGAAAATGCACTTCAAATCAAATTTCAAGCTCACTTGTAAGAAACTTTTCTTTAACAACTTTATTTTTCCCATCTACCGATATTAGTAGTGCATGATTTTTTGCATGATTGATCCGTATACAGATTGTCCTAGAAATGGATGTACTGAAAGAACTGAGTATATCGAAGAGAAAACCATATTGGCGTATTGAGAAACAATGGCGGCTCATGAGGTGTCCAACTCAATTTCATGTACATTGATAGCATCTTGTTCACCAATTGATGTTGACTTGATACTTGACGCAATGCACCTTCATAAAATCTACAGTTTTTAACCGATTCAATTTTTCTTTATTCCACCAGAAAGAGTATCAAAAGTATCTGCGTTCACCTGAATTTGCAGAATATAATTCTAATTTTCAGGACGTACTAGTTATCATACTAGTTATCATATCATCAGCAAAAGTTCGACGCCACTACTGGATTCAGCATTCCTCAAGTAGGTTAATCGCATCATTTCATTGAACAATTTTGATCGGTTACAATAGCAACATTAATTTTCGTACTATTACATACTATTTTTTATGGACATTCCAGACAAATTCTGAGAAGCGGCAACATTGTCAATACAAATATTGGAAATCATTGAAGCTTTTAGTAGACATTCGAATTCATAACACAAATCAGTCTCGAGTTGAAACATCTAGAATTATATCCTTTTAGAATGAAGTAATTCTTATTTTCCATAAATACCATTCTAGATGAGATCTACCAAAAAAACACCAATAATTTCCAACATGTGTTGACAATGTTGCAATTTCTCAAAATTTGTCTGAAATATGCATAAAAAATTGTATGTTACGAAAATTAATGATGTTTACTTTGTTGCCAATCGAAATTTTCCAATGAAATTTTGCGATTAACCTAATTGAAGGATTCTGAAACCAGTGGTGGAGTCTAATTTTCCTAAACCAGTGGTGGAGTCTAATTTTCCTAAAAAAATCGATAATGACCCTTTGAAATTTTTATCATAACATATTTTGCAAATTCGTGTGAACGTAGACTTTTTGATGTTTTGTTTCAAAGAAACATTGACTATCATGGATTGATCAATGGAACAATACCAGAGTCCTCTACATTTCAATGAAATAATATTCAATTGTCAAGCGAAAAAGGAATAAACACTTTTTCAAGAAATTAAAAAAGTAAAAAGGATCCAAAAGTTTGATACATTTTTTTCTGATTTGGACGTTTTTTGTTTTGTATGACGGGTTATCTCCTTCTGAACATTGGTGTGTGAACTATTTTGGCATAAAAAACCTCTTTTCCGTACATACCGGGTGTAGCAATTAGAGCGTGTTTTTTTCATGAAATTTGTAATACCCTGTAGAGTGTAATGATTCCACTATCAAGTAAGAATTGAAATGACACTTTAGCATTATCTTTCTTCAATTTTTTTTTGATTCACACCATTCTGTCCTATTACTCGAGAAACACAATCTTATAGTGTATCACGATTTAATGGAAAATTTATATTCAAATTCAACAACAACAAAAAAACGAAACCTAATGCGAAGTCTCAAGTTAAACGAGAGGGGCAGTAGCGAGTATTTCCGCCTCGGGCACGAATAACTTCTTGGCAAAGACGGTCCATACTTCAAATATGAGACAGTAAAGAGACCATAACATGTCATTTTGGTCCAGGTCTTTCCAAAATTGAATCAGTCTCTGCCCAACGTCTTCCAAAGTGTTCAAGTTACGGTCCGCTTGTACTCTCTTCCCAAGAATGTCCCAAATATACTGAATGGGATTAAAATCCGGTCTCCGAGCTGACTGACCATGCGACCTGACCAAGGCTTTTGACTGTGTATCACATACTATACTCATTGACAAATTGGCTCATTACGGATTGAGAGGTACCATTTTAGAACTCATCAGTTAGGTATCAGTATGTTGATTTAAACAACAAGAAATCAGATCTCAAACATATCGAACATGGCGTACCTCAAGGATCCGTCCTTGGGCCGTTTCTGTTTCTAGTATACATAAACGACTTATGTCAGTCTATCGAACCTATAAAATGCGTTTTATTTGCTGATGACACCACCCTCATAAGCTCGGGTAAGCTGCATGACGCACTACCAGTAGCTGCTGAACTCGAAAAGAACGTTGCAAAAAATTGGTTTACGCGAAATAAACTCAAACTAAACGAGAACAAAACTCAAAACTTGATCGTCTCCTCAAATCCTCTGTATCAAAAAGGGCATAATATTACACTACTGGGTTTAAAAATTGATGATAGATTAAATTGGTCCAGTCATGTAGATCAGGTGCTTAGTAAGTTATCTAGTGTTTTATTCATATTGAGGCAACTTAAACCTGTTACTAATATGGATGTACTGAAAATCACGTACTTTTCTCTATTTCACTCTGTCTTATCCTATGGCATTCTTCTTTGGGGCAACTCTTGTAATGCGAATAGGGTATTCAGGTCACAGAAAAGGGCTATAAGAATTCTAGCAAATCTTGAGTATAGAGATCATTGTGAACAATCCTTCATCAAATTAGGTATTATGCCACTCCCTACCCTGTATATATTCACAGTTCTACTGGAAATACATAATAAGAGCAAATCCACAAAGCACTCGAATATACATAATAACAACACCAGATCCGCAGACTTGTTGAATCTTCAAAGACATAGAGTAGTTGTAAGCCAACAGAATTCTTTGAATTTCAATCCATACAATGTTCTTCATGAATCTGTTAAACTACTGGAACCAAAAAAATTCAAAACAACAATCAAAAGATTTCTTCTTGATAATTGTTTCTACAGTATATCCGAATACCTCCAAAAATCGAAATCTCTTAGAGCTTAGACTTACATAGGGCAACATAGCTTTTATGTTTGCCATTGTTTTTATAAATTTTTAATTGATCTTATTATTTATCTATTTATTTATGTGATTTTTTTCAAATTATTTTATTGATACTTGTCATTTTTTATCATATCATATACGCTTGTCATGTAATTCTTTGATATATATTACAGATACTAATTATTTTTATCACATTTTCAAAATTACCACTATATTGTATTTTAATATGTTAGTATTGATACTTTACTGTGCTACTTTTCCCTTGCCCTGCTGACCTGCTATAAACATACTTGTATGTAACATAGTTAAATAAACTCTATCATGATAGCGATACCCACTTCCATAGATAATTTCTGACAACACGGGCGGCGGGACACTATGTGGTTCCGAAATCTCCAATATGTACCTTTCAGCTGTTAGGCTTTCATTTATGATCACAAGTTCCGTGCGATGAGTCGAAGAAATGCCTCCCATCCACGTGAATTTTGAGAAAGTTATGATTTTTTTTTCGAAATTCAGTAAAGGGGGCCTGTGAGGTTAATTCTTGCCCGAAAAAATATTATGAGATATACACATTATCAATAACCATTAGAGGAAGACATTCATATGATTTTTTTTTCGAAATTCCAAAAAAGGGGACCTGTCGGGTTGAATTTTGCCCGACAAAATATTGTGAGATATACACATCATCAAGTACCATTAGAGGAACACATTCATTAAAAAACTTCCATCCACGTGTATTTTGAAAAAGTTATGATTTATTTTCGAAATTCCAAAAAAGGGGGTCCTGTGGGGTTAATTCTTGCCCGACAAAATATTGATATGCAGATCACTAAGGACCCTTAGAGGAATACATCGATGGAAAATAGTTTCATCCACGGACATATTTTGGAGGTTTTAGTAATTGCATGGCCAGCCAGGAGTATAAGTTAGTAATAAATGACAATTAGTGGTAGATGGCTTGATAATGAAATTGTTGCGCTCTACAGGGTATTTCAAATTTCATGAAGAAAAGACGCAATGATATCTACACCCAGCCATATTCAAGATATAACCTTCATTCAAAACAAAACCGTCCAAATCGGACAATTAGCTTTGACGGAAATGTATCTCAAACTTTTGGATACTTTTTGGTGGTGTGTTAATTTTTTGGGAAAATGTAGAATAGAAAATCTCAAACCTCAATGATTTCCAACATTTCCCTTCACAAAGTTGCCGCTTCTCTGAATTTGCCTGAAAAATTGTATGTTACGAAAATTGATGTTCTTATAATTTTGTTGACAACAAAAATTTTTTAATGAATATTTTGCGATCAATTAAAGGATGCTGAATCCAGTGGTGGGATTGAATTCACTTGAGAAAAATTAGCTACGAATATTTCGCAATTTTTAACATGAAAAAAAAAACAGAACATGCCCGATAATTGGAATTTTCTTCTGCAAATTTCTGTTGACGTTGATCTTTCGATACTCTTTTCGCTGAAACAAAAATATTGATCGGAGTTGTAACCTGTATAGATTTTATAAGAGTGCTCTGGTCTTCAGTAGTGAACATTTTTTGTAATGGCACCCGTATTGAAGTTGTTGAAAAAAATGTTCATCCATATTTTTCACGATGATGTCGAAACTATTGGCAACATTGCTATGATTTTTTTATGAATATGTTTTGGAAGGATTCTAGCTACACTGTTCCTACGGACTAGTTTCTAACATAACTTTTTTGAGATCAAATTCACACCAAAAAGGTACCTCCTACTTAGGTAAAACCCGATCGAGACTCTGTGCCTTTCGCGGAATATTTTGATTTCGAAAAAATGAAGCAATAATGAAGCTGGTAAAGAGTATTATCAAAAACAATTATCTATTATTTATTGAAAATCAAAAACAATAACGTTTTTTTAATGCCAAAGTGGTTGATTAAAAAATGAATCACAAGAATGAAATTAACAAAAAATTCACTGAAAACAAAAAAGATTTATTCAGTTGGGGTAATACTTAATTGATCAAAATTTTCTCCGCTTTCAGGAAAACCTGATTCTATCATTTTTTCTGAAGAATGCATGGAAATTCGTGAAATCGATCAAACATTTCATAATGTTGAAATTATAAACATAGGATATGAGGGAGTTCTTTTCAGTACATACCTTTCTGGGACGACCTGTCAATAAAAACCATACACAACAGTTGGACAGTTTTTTCCAAGTTTTCCTTGACCGCCTGATGTTGGTGCAAACGTATATAGTTGATAAAGTCAACAAATAATTCATTCATCAAAACGACCCATTTCAACAAATATGTATAATGAATAATTCAGGATAAGGACAAATCTTAGTTGAAAGTTCTGAGATTTTTCTCTTGTGACAAATCAAAAAAGTTTTATTCTATTTTTTTCTACTCCTCATATTCTGTTGTAAAATTTTGTCATAACACCAGAAAGAACAATGATTGACAGTTTATTTAATGATAACAACGTACACAAATCATGCATCTACTTCCAGCAAATTCTTTGTTGATGAAATATTGGTATTTTTGGCCTCAGTACAGACACAGTATACAACCTTACGGAAAACAGTTATTTCTGTAAGCACTTTTCGTTGTTCTAAAATTCGCAGTGCGCATTTCCACTCGTGGCTAGTATGCGCAGTTGCTCAGCTAGCAGGGCAGGTGTTCTATTTACACTTCTTTGATTTATATTCTTTCATGATTCATTCTGTAATAGGAACCACGAGTATCACGATTTATTTATTTTGTCTAGTAATGTTTTGTGAACCACTTTTTCCTGATTGCTTGTATAATTATTTATCTTCATAAACTTTATATATGATTTCTCACTGCCTCTGGTGATCCGTTCCACTTTTGATTGCTATTGATATTAATGTTCATCGAGCTGGTTATCATTAGAAGATAATGGCTGCCTACTCTTTCATTTGTTGCAAAAATAGTAGGACAGATTGCAGTTTGATAGTTTCTTCAGATTTCCAAAAGATGAGCCAAGGTAAGAACAAGTGTATCCACATCGACATCTATGATCTGTTTGTTATTCATTAACATTATTCATTTATCATCAGCATTCCTCAATGATGACGAGCGAGTCGTTATTGGCTTGTGATTGGCTCGACCAAGCCCGAAAGTCTGTGCGTGGTGGTATGCGCGCTGGTCTGACAAAAAATAAAACTTTTGGACACCAACATCAAACGTTCCGACACTAAGTGAAATTACTGTTTTCCGTAAGGGTTTATACTGTGGTAAAGGGTGGCTGGAATTCAAGCCTCATCATCTCGTAAACGGTAAAAGATACAAGGTCGGCAGAGTTGCGCAATTTTAGACATTTTTCGCCTAACAAAATGCCTTTAAGAAACTTGAAAAATTCCGAAATAAACCGAAATTTACTAAAACCTTTATTTTTTTCAAGTTATTTGAAGAAAGCAATCTAAATGAATGACACTTTATCATGGACACTTTTTTTTCCTACTAGTTGGTGTTTTCAAATTTGAAATCCGACGTTTCGTCTTCCAGAAACGATCAACTTTTTTTTAAAATATGGACCCGGGTTTTTGTTTTTAATTTTTTCAGACCTGTGGATGTCTCAAAAGCTATGACCTATCACACATTGTTATTATCGAATGTTTCGTATACAAGAATTGAAATTTAATGATGGGTTCTTTAGGGCTAGCCAATGATAGCGAACATTGTTTTTATGCAATAATCATGTATTAATAGGCATTAGGTGATCGTTGCATACACTATTTCTTCAAAATATTCGAACATCCTTAGTCCATGAATTGCATGTACTTCTGACGCGTTGTGACTGAATGTCAATTTAAATTAAATTTCAAACAACTCAAGCAAGTGTAATACCTACCTAATGAATGAATAATATTAATGAACAGATATTTAATTCGCTTACCTATTGTAATCGACTTTGACGGCTACTGGGAGATTGTTAGTAGTTTTTTGTAACCAACTAGAGGGCGATTAATACACCAGTTGATTAAATAACTAGATATTTCAGTTTGAATACATGATTGATGGTGGTGGGTTCTGAAGCTAGTAGTGGAAAAACACCTTACGTTTTTTAGTCCCTTTGTAACTGGTTTCAAAACTCACTAGAAAAGAGTGAAAATATTTTCACAAATGAAACTTGGAAAAAACTCATCTATTGAGCGGTTGATTTGGATAATGCAGTGTTGCTTAATAATGAAGTTGGTTTTTATATAAATTGAATCGCCATTGATTAATGCCAACATTTTTCTACTTTTTAGGGCATGGCTGAAGGGAGCATTCATCCTGGTATTTTTATTAGGTTTGACATGGACCTTTGGCTTCTTGTATCTGAACAAAGAATCTGTAGTGATGGCATACCTTTTTGCCACATTGAATTCTCTGCAAGGATTCTTTATATTCTTATTCCATTGTATACAAAATGAAAAGGTAAGATGTTGTGACTATAAACAGGCATCGACATTGTTGTAACTTTATATGCAATTCATGTTTGACACAAAGTTTCAAAGTGTCTTCAATAAAATGTAGCAAATAATACTTCCTCTTCATATTCCAAATGAAACATTTCATGCCTCCAAAGTGAGCTGATCAAAATGAGATGGGTGGCAGTGAAACAAAAACCCTAATAAATCCTTGAATGAATTCACTGAAATTGAATTCAATAAAAAATCAATTTTCCGTTCCTCTTCTAACGTAATTGTTATTCAAGTATTATTTCAATATAATATTAGATGATTTGCTGAAAATGTAACTGCCGCTAAAAATTTAACTATTAGAGAGTCACAGAAAAATTCAATCGGCTAGTCAGCTTGTTTTGGAAAATGTTCGTGAAGAGGAATATAGGAGTTGATATATAAAAAAAAAATCATATAAATTTTTAAACAGTGATATTTTGTGGTAGATTATCTGATTTATCCCTACTGAACATATATTGATATGATACTCATATTTTCATTTGAATAAACGAGGGTAGAAAATACAAAAAAAATTATAGAAATTAATATTCCACTTCCTTGACAGTTTCTACCTTTTCGTGATATGAAAGACATTGGGGTCATCAGGAAGTCATTCTTGTAAAGTTTTACATGAACATCCGAAAATTCAGTTCAGACACTAATAAATTGTCCTATAGGACATATTTCATGTAAATCAAAAGCCAATTTCAATGATTGATCATTGACGAAACATTTATTCATATATTCAAGATTATTTTGGCTTCATCTGGAGACCAATTTCATAATAAGTTTTTGATAAAGGGAAAAAAGTTGAATTTTTCAGTGTTCTAGGTTTTTACGATGAATAGAAAGAAACATTTGCTATATTTTATAAATGTCATGTTTTAAAATCATCCATATACTATCTTCGAAGAACATTTTATGTATTTTTCTTGTTCCATTCACACGTATACATAATATTTCTTTTAATTATTTTGGTGGTCTTCAAAAGCTGACTTGGAAAATGGCTTGAATTCAACATTTCAAATCTCCAAACTGATACGAACTATCTTTGATCCGGGTTTCCCACATTATCAAGTATGACGGTAGACAAATTCAATACTGAGAGTGAGGTGGTCCAATAATGAAATAAAGCACGTGTTGAACCACCCTTTAATAAAAATAATAAATTTGATCAGTGTGTCTCCTTTTTAGAAACAATTGTACTTTATCCTCATCATGAAAATTTTAAAATCGAATATAACAATATTAAGATTTTTTTCGATTTATTCACGCACTGAGAGAATGAGAGAGACATTCTATTTAGGTACATCCTATAACTCAATAAATTACAATAATTAAATTAAATTGAAAAGTTGGACATGAAGATGAGAAATATATATAAAAAAACGGAATATACATATTTGAACATATAGGAATAGATATTATATCACATGACTGTATCAACTTGCTATCGAAACAAACTAAACTAATGAGTATGACAAATAATAATAAGTATGTTCAAATCATTTTTAGTTCTAGTGTTATGATCATGACTTCTCTTTGTGAATCTACTATTCGTGTGTTTAGAATTGTTGACACTATTGTGAATAAATAAACAACATTGATATTCATAAATACTACAGAGGGGCATCAATTGGTGTTTTTTATATAGTTCGTTTGTTGGATATCTCCTTGGTAGTAAAAATATGTATATGTTTTTTATTGATTCATTTTGCAGAGTCTTTAAGGATCTCAGGATATATTCATGGGTTGGGTTCCATTTTACGTTTAAATAAAGGTATATTTTTCGTATATAAACATTTTCCAACTCTTTTCAAAATGGCAGAATTGGCGTCAGAAAAAATATAGTTCCCACTGTTATCATTTTTTCTCATATTTTGAAAGAACCTATTTTTTTAACAACTTTCATGCAAAAAGTTTTGTTCTATCTTCATGTGGTAATTAAAATCAAGTCGATCAGGAAACAAATTCAAATTCCCTGTGCCAATTTGCATTTGCAGTTTTCCTTCTCCTGTCATGAGCCAAGGGTGGGAAGTTTCAATCACCCTGTACACTCGTCTTTAGAAATCATGTATTTGGTTTGTATAATCGCTCTTATTGCAGTGGTGATTTAGTGGACTGAAATCGTCCATGTGCGACATGTTCTCTGAAGATTACTGTACCTACCTATCTTTCATAGTTTTCGAGATTGTGATAATTTACTCCACTTCTTATCTTCTCGTACCTCAAGGCCCATCTCGATAAATATCTGTTATAATTACTTCATAATATGTATTGTACTTTCATTAATATCAATATCACTATATAACTGGGCGATCATACCAAAATATTACCTGATATTGCTATTACATTGAATAATATCAACATTTTATTACTTCGCTGGTAATATAAAGGGTGATTCACGTTTGCCACCATTAGAAGAAATATATTTAGACCTCCAACTGTGGGGTCCAAAAGTCGGCATAAACTTTCCTATTTTCAAATAGAAACCTAAAATATTTTCATACAGTCCGATAGGCCTTTTATTTCTGATTTTAGACAACTTAATTTATGTTAATTCATCTATCACAGTTTTCGAGATATATTGATTTTTCTGAGAATAATTACCGCCGTAGAAAAAATTGGTATCTGGCAAACCGTTTAAAATTAGAACACCTACTTAATTTGTGGAACTGCTGATGTCCCATATCGATGGTCCCATTTTGTTCCATTTGGGCGCGAGCGATTTTAAAATATCGCAGTGAAAACTTACCAAAATATCAACTTTTTCAAATGGCACCTACTATTTTTTTTGGGTCCATATGAAAGAGAACCGAATTTAAATATGGTTATCTCTAGCATTCCCTATACCTAACTCAGACCTTCGGAAATATTTTGTTGTGAAAATAAAATTTATAGGCGACTGAATTTAAGATCGCAGCGCCAAAGTGGCCGGTTGTGAACTATATGAAAGTATATTGTTTTGAAATGGTTAATATTATGCTTGTGTGTAGATTTTTTGGTAGTGATTTTAGCAAAGAAAACTTCACTTTTGAATGTTTATTTGTGTATTCTTGGGAATCGAGGGAGCTTTTCAGCAGATATTCGTTCAATCAAGTGTGTTTCACTACTTCAAATACAAATTTTGTTTCCATTCAGTCGTAAAATAAATATTGCAAGATAAGTGGAGTGAATATGATGTTGAAGTTCACAGAGTGGGTATTTGAGATGTATATAGTATATATTGTACTCGAATCAACTACTTACATGTGATTATATGAAAGAGAGAAAGTACTCAAAGCTGGAAGTATGTGCGAATAATTGATCTACCTCTGGTAAAAAAAATGAACATATTATGTGCTTTGCTTTTGAGTAAGGATTTAATCTTTTCAAATTCCTTCTGTAACTTCACTTCTGGGAATGAAATGCAACTGAATTCAATCTCAAAGTTGAGAGAATATCTTTCAGTTATACACTGATTGAAATTATCATTATCATCAAACTCTAAAAATATCACAATGAATACTAAACTTTCGATAAAATGCATGGAAGCTTGAATCTTGAATGTAAACAAACATTCAATATACTTTCCATTGTAAAAACTTCACAAACGATAAGATTTCCACAAAATTAAAATTAAATTTTATGGAAATCTTATCGTTTGTGAAGTTTTTACATTTGTCATGGATTTCCATCAAGTAACGGCCGAGTCAATTCAAAAAATACTTTCCATTGGTTACTTGAATATCCGCAAGATGGCTTTTATTTTGAATCGCCTATAAAGTAAGTAGGTATTGTTCGATTCAAACTCGAGGAATCAAATATATATGATATAAATACAATATCGACCACTCGTTCTGATGTCAATGAACATGAAGTGTCCGCTTCAACCACATTCTCATGACGAATTCGTTGAATCGCCAGCTTGTGATATGGCATTCCAATGCGTTCTAATAATTTACGAATTGATTTGAACTTCGTCGCCAACAATACATTTCTTTTCCATTAGATGTCTCATTAATTATTGATCCATGTAGTATCGAATTCGGATTGTTGTTCTTGAAGATTATGAGATGTTTAATTTCAGCCATATGATATACAGGGTGTCCGGAAAGGTCATGTCGTAAATGGTAGGGCTGATAGAGTGGGCTCAAATAATGTAAGTACTTCATGTTGAAAAAATGTCTATCGCACTTCGTTACGGAGTTACTTACCTTGACAGTTTGAATAAATAAATCATATTTTTCTGCAAAGACACCAAAGTCGTCCATTTTAATACCAAAATTAGCTCTTGAATTGACGTTTCTATTACTGACACTAACATAGGTATATTGCTAGGCAACATTTTTAGTTCCTAGGAGCTAAAGTTGAACTTCAGTTCCTAGGAACTAAATAGCATGTACTAAAGGTCATCAAGAATGAACAACATTGTGACGATTGGTTATTTGGGTTGGGACGCATACCAGATTTGTTTCCGATTTCGGCAGATTTGGCATTTTATACTCATGCTGGAGATATAAATACACCAAATTATAGTTGAGTATCTTTGTTTTGATCAGGGAAGCCGTCAATATTCACATACTTGCTCGATCTGTATTTAATTCGACATTCTCGGGATAGATAGCTTGTTTTTGAATAATCACGGCTAGCAATACTTTTTTGTCTCACACAACGATATTGTTTACCTTCATTTAATTAACGAGCCAAACACAGTGGAGTATGGAGACAAATAAATAATCGCTATTATCATTGTAGATATGCTCACTAACCTTACATTTTCCACGTCTTTTTCCTATACCTGGCACTGGCGCGGTATTTGCTATTAGGGCTGACAACTGGTCCATACACGAATGGGTCACTTTGTGGTTGTATTCATATCAAAATTACAATTCGAACATCCTTAAACTTTGAATAAAGCTGATCTGTTAATGCAGGTAGAATATTCTCACCACACGGATTATTTGTTGCATTGCATACATATAGCGCGGCATTGGTGGTTACTTCACATATTTATTTTATTTAATTCTTTCGGTTGCAGAAATAGCATGTTTCATTCGGATTAAAAGTGACTGTGTTTGACTCGCAAAATTTTCTTGTCAAACAAAGTGTCACTTTATCTTAACAAAACAATCTACTATTTATGTATAACTTTTAAACGGTTGCCATGGTATCAATGATATTTGGGCAACTAAATTAGTTCATACGAATGCTCCTTTCGATATGTAAACGGCTTTTCTGTGATTGTGTTGCGAATTTGACATTTTGCTTCTACCGTTTGATTTCTCCGTCTTTTTTCCACAAAAATATTATACTTCATTTTAATTGATATCTTGTATCATTCTAGAGCAAATCGCATTCTAAAATGATACAACATCACAACCGTTTCGAAGTTGATAAAAACTTTATTTATTCGAAAGCGGTATTTCTAGTCATCGTCAAAATTGACATCAAAATATTTTGACAGTATTTAATGCTTTGGGAACACCATGGACGTGTTGAGTAATGATGAGCATGCCTTAGGTATGGACGAGACAGCGTACATACTTTAGTCTAAGGTATGTACACTGGACCAGCAGAAACTTCCAAGGTCAATAACTCCGTAACGAAGTGCTATATACATTTTTTTTATATGAAGTAATAATATAATTTTGGCTCGCTCTATCAGCCCTATCATTCACGACATGATCTTTCCAGACACCCTGTATATATAAATAACAGCAATTTCGAATGCTGTTGTCATGCTAACGTGACTTTTACTATCTCAATGAACAGTTGAGTTACAGTGGTGGGCGACTTGATTCCGTTTTAAATAATCTGAAACGTGACTCATTTCAAATTTTAGAGTTTCAGCAATGTAAAAATCACGTTCGCCTTGCCTCCCTACCAGATATTAATGAACTATTTACATTTTACATTTAATATATATAGAAAGTGAAATCAAATAAGTTAATGTAATACACTCACAAGGGGAATAATTTAGACTGGTTGTAATATATCATGTTTCATTAAAAATAGTCGTGCGTTATCATATCGGTACTATAAAAATCTGTAAATACTATTGTAAAGCAAAAGGAAATAAATGGATTCAATGAAATGTTTGTCAGTTCTTCTGAAACTTATTCTATTTATAATTTGCTGCTGAATGAATATATTTTTTTGAATTTATTAGCTAATTTGCATTTACATCGACACAGTAGAAAATTGAACCATTGATAAAAAATACAATTGAAAAAAGTGATCTCAATTTATAAAAATTATTATTGAGTTATTTCCTGAAAATACAAGATATACAATGTGTTCCTAGATTAAGGACGTTGCTTCAGTATTCTTTCATTACCAAAAACCTTTATTCGAATTGTGAGAAGTTGGGGCTTTACATCAAATTTTGGAACACATTCTGAAAATCATGAAAAATTCTGCAAATTGACTAGCACTTCTTCATGAATGAATGAAACCTCAAAGAATGAGTTTTATTATTCATGATACAATTTGTGCTCATGTTTTGAAACTATGTTCATTTCATATTATTTGAATACGATTGAAATAAACTGATCCAAAGAAGTTCGTAAGCTAATAAGCTACTCAAACATACCATCATAATATGGGGGTGTAATTTGAAAAAAGTTGGGGGCATGTGCCAAGGGGTGGTTTATCGAGGGGTAGTTCTAATGAATAATTTTTGATTTTTGTGCAATATCATATTCAAGCCAGATTTTTCATAACCTACATTTAGTCAATAATAGGGTTGACAATGACTTGGTTCGCTATGTACATTCAATTTTAGATCCTATTAAATGCATTTTACTATTCTTACTACTAGAATGTCATTATTTTTACAAACATTTTTTTCAAATTGGTTATCCATCAGGACCTGTTGCGATTTTTAATACTTAGCCCCGAAATTCAATACAATAATTCAGCAAAAGTTTTATTCGAAATCTTCCGCTGTAGTTGAAATCGAAACATCACAAAACAATTGAATGAGAAATTGCAAATTAAACTTCACAGTGTGTTGTTTTTTACATGTTTTAAAGGATCGGAAGAAAGTAGACTAGTTAAGCGTGTCATGAAATTATGTCGAAATAACTTCGAGATATTATCATGCTTTAGAGTTGAAATTGGCAATAAAATTGTTTGAATAAGTTGAAATGAAACTTAATACAATTCCAAAAACTAGATGAAGTAGTCATTTGTTTATTCAATGTCAGACATTTTTTTAGGACTAGTACTTGACGACTAGTGGAGGCTGAATGTAATGAAAACTGATTAATGTCGCCAAAATGATCCTAGGTGATAACTCATCAATGTATTTATTCCATTCAGTTCGAATGGTAGTTCATTAACCAATCTGTTTGTTCTTCTTCTGCAAGTATCTGGCCAGAACCCTCAAGTTGACACTTATTGTCCACAGCTCCTGTAAAAAATTATGCCATCAGCTTGATAACCAGTCTACAAATCTCTTGCGCAGGGATGAATCAGCAAAACCAAAAGATTTTCACTGAAACAATTCTTTATATTCTGGGGAGTTATACAGGGTGTTTTAAAGAAAGTTGGTCCTATTTTTGCTAGGATAGGCAGAAGAAAAATCGTAACAAGGTATTGAAAAAAATAGGTTCATACACATGTTTTACAATTATGTCCGAACTACTGGCAAAATTATTATAAAATTCTCTATGAATGTGTTCAAGGAGCTGACACATTGCATGAATTTGTTTCTAAATCTGACTGTTATCGAAGGCGCTATAATTTCACAGTGATTACCGAGATTATCGAGGTCAGATTTTCCAAATTCCTCAATTTCACACTTGAATGATCAAAGTGTGATATTTTCAAAAGCTTTCATGTTAGTTACTTTTAATATTTCATTCATTACAATCGCAAAGTTAATAGTACATTTTTATGTCTTCACTATCATTCTTCAAATGGCGACCGTTTTTTGACAATAACTTTTCAAAGAGAACATTTTTTGACGAGTCTAACAATACTAATCCATTTGTTATTGGATTTTGATCAAAAATGAAGAATGATGAGAAACTACCATGCGTCCAGAGATCGCCCTGTGATGCTGTGCTACCTCGATTCTGGGAGCCAGGATAATAGGGTTATTGATAGAAAAATTCAACAGTTATTGAAGATCAAAGATTGTGAATAATAAAATATCATTGCTGAAAACCAGATTTCTCAGGGTCTCGTAGTATAATGTCTAACATAAACTCAAGTATTACTATAAAATACTGGATAATACTGGATGTGAATTTATTTACTTCTGTCAAGTGTGTCATGAATAGCCATGATGCATATTATTTATATCAACTCTTTTTGAAACAAAAATACATACTCACTTAGAAAATGACATAAACCTTATGAACACACAGTGAAAGTTCCTCTATTTTGTGCAATACCGGAGCCATTAGTGGTGAAACCGGAAGTGACCAGAAAGTGAAAAATATACAATACCATCCACCTATTATTTTGAGACACCCAATATTCTAGAAGTTATGATTAATCGAATAGATTCTTTGACACCCGCGGTTTATTATTTTCGTTTTTTTTGCAGCACTTTTTCGCTTTCCGCTTCCCCTTTCAGTTGTCCCGTATGTTTCTTTACCGCACACTTTTATTTCGTTTCTCTCTTCCCCGCAGGTCCGCAAAGAGTACCGAAAATTCATAAGGCGGAACAGCTGGCTGCCGCAGTGCCTGCACTGCTCCAGCGCGAGTGCCGGAAGCGGCAGCAGCAGCAGCGGCGCGAAGGAGCGGCGCACCAGCATATTCGGCAACCAATCCCAGTCGGGAGGCGGGACTAACTCGCTCTCGACCGACAACTCGGTGCTCGCTGCGCACGGAACTAGTGTGGGTACCAACAGTATAGTCATCTCAAATAACCTCAATAACGCGCGGCCTACCGCGCTAGTCCAGATTATGTCTCGAACTGATCTCAACAATGCTAGTACCACCATGACCAACCACAATCGACTGCATAATATGTCCCAACAAGGTACTGAAGATTCAGAGAACAATGCTTGTGTTTGCGACAAAGTGCGAAATCCATTCTGTGAAGTGCTCGTAGCTGTGTGAACACTGTTCAGCGGTTTCTTACTTTCTTTCATGGTTTTCCTTAACCCTCTTGCTCACGGCTCACGAATTAATAGCTCTGATGATAATAATCTGAGATTTTTTATACAGATTCTATGATTTTGCGGCGAAATTCTTCTATATCTCTGGATGCACACTATATACAGTGTATGCGATTTCAACCCGCATCACCTTCCTAATTTGGAACCCGTCGACCCATTTTCAAAAACAAAAACTCCATAATTTAGTACTCAACGAGCTCAATTTGAAAAATATGGACAAATCTGAAATATTCTGGTTTTCAAGCCATACTTTTGTTTGTTGAAGGGGTCAAAATTTCAAAAACGACTATTAGCATTTTTTTTTTTCGAACTGCCTAGCCTATTCGATTCAGGCATAGCTGAAATCCCCCATACCAAATTTGAATGCAATATCTCATATAGGGTGTTAGTTATTCAATGGCAAATTTCAGAATTCTCGCTTTTTCGATTCTCCCTGTAATAAAATCCGCAGAGTTGATGAAACCAGTGAGGTGGTCATTCAATGAAAAAAGTAAACCGTCTTCCATACACTTCACCACACAGTAACTTTGAAAACCGTCCCGATTGATGAAGAGCTGTCGAATTTTACACAAATAGAATGAAAGACAAACACTCTCCAAAGACTGCACTGATACCTAGTGATACTTAATGTGATCATAATAATAATCCGATTTTGGCGTAATCGAAGGATAATTCGAGATGACAATGAATATTTTTATGTATGGAGAATATTTATAGATATGGATTATAATAAAACATTTTTCAACTTCAGAATATCATTAATTTTTTGTTGACCTAGAGAGGTCTTCCTGTAGAAGTATTCGATGTGTTCCTTCATTGAATGACTATTTCACCAATTTTATCAACTCCTTAGATAAAAAATATCAAAATTTACCATAGAATAACTTACACCCTATATGAGATATTGCGTTAAAATTTAGTATGATGATATTCCAGCTATGCCTGAATCGAATAAGCTAGTCACTGTTTCAGAAAATGCCTAATAGTCGTTTTTGAAATTTTGACCCTTTCAACAAACGAAAGTACGCCTTGACAATCTGAATATTTCAGATTTGTCCACATTTTCGGAGAGAGCTCGTTGACTACCTACTTTATTATGAAATTTTAGTTTCTGAAAATCGGTTGAAATCTGACATATCCAAAGCTTCAAATTTTGCCTCGTGACTGATTCACAATCTAACAAAAGTAAAATAGAAACTTGGTGGAGTCCAATAACTGTTATAAAGATATTGTTAGCATCACCAAGAGAGATTGAAGTGAAAACAATCTGGGCTGTATTAATATCAGAATAGGCTGTCCTCATTTCAGGACAGGGTGAGCGAAAGGGATGAATTGATGGAATAAATAGTTAATTAATCAACTACTTAGTGTTTTAATGTGGGCGTTAAAGTTCCAGATCATTAATCGCCTTTTTTCGTCGTCTATATTTCTCCTGCAATGAAGAAAATTTGGTTCGTGAATTCATTGATCCAGAAACAACTAATTACCCAGTAGCCATGAATGACAACTTGTCACTGACATTAAACATTTGTGGAAATTATCAACACGGAAAATAAATGTCTTTTGTGTTATAAAACAGGGAATGAAATCGGCTCAGAAACGTCAAGAAGCTAACTCCCTAATGTAAAGCATCTATAACACATAAATCTCTTATAATTTTTGGTCGACTTAACATCATTTCAAGCTTATGCTTATGCGGAAACTTGTTATGTTACTGAAAACTGATGATATGTGTACCGCAAGGTTAAATATTGAGATCCCTTCTGTACATAATTTACATGAACGACTTTCCAAGTGAAAGATGCTTTTATCCAATATTGAATGCAGATGATGCAAAAATTTCAACTCGCAACAAGAATAAAACTCGATCGGAGGCTTTGGCATATAAAATGCAGTCAAGGTCTGGAATATAGTAACGTAATAGGGAAAAAACTCTTCAAATGCCCCATCTCGTTAAGAGTTCACCTGGATCCAAGTTTGAAGTGGAAAGTACATGTCAATCAGCTATGCAAACGACTGAGTAGTAATATCTTCTGGCATCAACAACATCAATTAAAACATTGGCAACTGCTCATTTTCTACTATTCTACTCTCAAATACTTTTCTGAGTCATTGTTTCGAAAGATAGTGTTGATTCAAATAGAATCTTCAGACTAATGACAGGACTGAAATACCAAGATGACTGTGAACAAGCTTTCATTGGACTCAAAATACTTACATTTTCCAGCATATTGATCTACATTGCAAAGCAAAATACAGATGGCAAGGAATATGAATCTCATCGGAACACATCAACATATTCATAACTTCATATGAGACGAGAAATAGGGAAGATCTAGTAACTGCCATGTGTACGTTTGAGAAACACAAAATCGTCCAAACTACTAGTGATTAAAATAAATGATTCAATTGGTAAGACACAAGATCAATTATTTTCATGTTCCTTAGTGAAAAAATGGTTGCCAAATGATGCCATCTTGGGAGCACCAACTTGAAGCCAGAAATTTGTATCTATTAGCTTCAAAAAACCCTCGATTTAAATTTCCAGCCGAATCGACGATAAATGATAGTGTCATCCGCCATTATGGAGGCGCCATCTTGAATTTTCGAATTTTGTCTGGGAATTCGTGTTTATAAGCCCCATTAATCCCCCGTTATAAATTTTCAGTCGATTCGGTCGGAAACTACAAAAGAAGTCCGTCTTCTTGGAAGCGTCAACTCAAGAATGGAAATTTCTATTTCTCTACCCCAAGACCCCTCAATATGAATTTTCTGTTGCTGTTCCTCAACCATATTATCCTCTTATAAATTTTTACTCAAATCGCAAAAGCGTACTTACAAACTCGTCCTTCATTTTGGATGCACCATCTTCAATTTTCATTCGAATCGCACAAGAAATGACATCTTGGAGGCGCCATTCTGAATATTTTTGCAACGAAAGTGTCAAATTGCATTGTCGGCGGAAAAATATGCAATATTTCATCTCTATCGGCTAACGGAAAGAATTTACAAAAGCGACGTAATGGAATCTTGATAAATACGAGTGAATATTGGATCTGTCCTTGAGAGCTCAATGCAAAAAAATTGGTTACAATATTCACGAGTGCGATTGTAGGTAATGGATTTCTCACTTTGTACATGGCACCTACTAAGTACAGCTAGAGCTCATTTCAATTGGTAATTTAACAAAATGTTGTTTGCTTTCTCTAATATTATGTCACCTGTATTTACACCTGTCGTCGCTTCTGTGTGTGACATTATGTTCTGTTCATAGACAACAATCCCTGTTATTCCACCTTTCAGCTGACTGCCAAACTCTTGAAATGAAAGAATGTTTTGGTTATGACAAAGATGATACATACTCTGGATTATCTACTAGTATTTAGACTGCTAATCTCATGGGACAAAACCTCATCCATTTACGAGATCGAACTGGAAACCATGAGGCAAGCGCAAGGTAGATAGATTAATAAAATTTGCCAAATTCATGTCAAAGCTTGGAAATACTGGGAACAGAAAACTTTATTTGAAAAATTGATAGATTTTGAATAAAAATGCCCTGTGGGAGTTATCAATTAATAACATCCTTGTTCCAAGTTGAGAAAGAAGAGTATATACAGATTATTCTACAATATACTATTCTCTACAAATATATTCACCTTGAAGAGTAACTTTTTTTGAATAAAAAAAGTTCATGAGCCCAAGCCGCCTTCTTGGAATAGGCGAGTGGACTATTTATTTTTTCATTTCTTAAATAGAATCATCACTTAAATACCTTTCAATTTCATAGTCATTTAACATTTTTCGGTCGATTTTAAGGTGCTAAAATCATCAATAATGCCATGGTTATTTTCAAACGGCTAGAAATTTACCGCGAGTAAAAACTGACGTCACGATTTCGTGAGTAAGGGCAGACCATAGCACGCTTACCATGTGTTGAAATACGATTGGGAACTTCAGAATTATCAGTTATTCAATAATTCATGAATTCTCAATTATGTTTTGGTAATATTCCTGATCAACAATAAAACATTAATTATTGTCTCAAAATGTTTCCTCATGTGTTGTAGCTTATTGCTTATGATAAATCTGTGGAACTAATAATTATATTAATTCACACTAGAGGACATTTGAACCGGTGAACGTGACAACACGGCGCACGAGTTGTTGGCGTGGTCTTGTCAGTTCTCAGCATTCAGCACAAGGTTGCCAAGTCTTCAACATTTACATGTCATTTTGTTGTGGATTATTAGAAATATTTGGACATGCGAGAGTAGTGACACAATGGAATAATGCCAATAATTCAGTCCACTCGCCCATTATGACGATTCTATATCATCAAAAGTCCAATTTCTATGTTCTCCGTGGTTTCCAATTTTGTTGGCGATTCTCATATGATATAACTTTTGCATAGACCTTTTTTACTAAGGATTCAACAACAATAACAACAAGACATTTTGCAGTTGATTTATAAAGTCACTAATTTTGAGGAGAAAACATAAAAACACAATTGAACCTGAACCATTAATTACTCTTATCCTTAGTAAACAAAGATGAAATGTATTGTTGTTGTTATTGTTGATATTCTTTAGGAATCCTTGGTGAAAATGAAATGTATACCGGGTGATTTTTCAAAGTGGCTCTGTTGCATGAGCCACCCGTGTTACGTGACAGTAAGAAAGGGACACTGACAGGGATGTGAGATTATGAAGATTT